GTAGCGCTAGTGAAAATTTTCTGTTCTTTAACTAATGATGAATGGAGCCATGAGCCCCCATGTAGAGGCTGAAGAGTGTCTCTCCAACAGCAGGCAGCTGTGCAAATGTAGTCCTCAGATATACTGTGATGCAAAAGGGCAGAATTGCTTTCGCCCCAGTGCGAGGCAGTGCAGATGAAACACCTGTTGGAGCACTTTGCAAAGGTCACCTTTTGGTGAACGGACCTGCTCTTCACAGGGATAGTTGCGTGGAATCGTTTTGAAACTGGCTGATTGGGGTTAAGAGCCCCATAACTCTCATCTGCTTAATTCTTTGTTTTTGAGTGCTCTGCACATAGCTTGTCTCACAGCCAGTGCCTTCTGTATATCTGCTCCTCCCCCTTAGCTACTATTTGAATGGCACAGACTTGATTGAATCAATTTAGTTCTTTCTATTTGTGACATTAAAAATGTAGCCACATATACAGAGGATTCAGGAAATGTCATGTAGCTTGCTGAAACGTGCCCAGAACTGAGAGTGATGATGTCCCAAGACCCAAGTTCAGTTTTGTTTGTTGCCAGAGATTTTTGTGTGTAATAGCATGCCTCTGGATGTGGTTTCTATGTAGGAAGTGTTGCTAACAAGGATTGACTGTGTCACAAGCATGCTGTTAGAGTAAACAAGTTGAAAGATTTAAAAACTTCCAGAAATCACAATAATGTAAAATTAATGCATATAAAAGACAGATCCCGTCTGTACTTCACATAATTCTTCCCAATATGGGATCTTCATCATCTTGCTATGATTGGAAATGCCATCAGTTATACTTTTTCATGAAAAGCAACAAAAGGACATTGTTTCACAGGGAGACTTCAGGCAGTCGCAGGCTTTGGGCACAAATGCGCTTCCTGCATCTCTTCTGTGCACCCTATATAATGCTCCTCATTCTTTATCTGTGTGGAACTGCAGCTGAAATGAAAACTGTGGCAGCTTTCACACAGATTTTGGCTACTGGAGGAGAGGTAAGCTAAAACCTGTCAGGGGAGTAAAGCAGGGGTACAGTCCTCAGCTTTGCTAGAGGATTTGAATTGATGTACAAGACTAAAGTCCTGAATGAGAGAAACTAGTAGAAGGAACAAAATTCTTAAAGCTGGACTCATACTTGGCTGCCAGCACCATCTATAATTACTTTTGATACATACTAAATGGAATATAACCCTTCAAGACTGCCCGTCACCCTCAACCCACTGCATAGTTCCTGCAGCAGCACTGCTGCAGGATGCCGCTCTTCTTCAACCTCCTCTTGGTTGTAACCCAGATTAATTCCTGGATGGTTTATCTTAGTTTATCCTTACAGAAACAGCTCTTCTTGCTGTTTACACCAATCTATTTTTAGAATACAGTTGTGCAAATAATCATTGGAAAGAAAACTGTGAGCTCATCAGAAAGTGTATAGGAAAAAAGATGAAAATGTAAAGATTCCGTGTCCCTTTAAAAGCAATAGTTACATTGTTTTGTTGATTAATTTGATAAATTAACAAACTTGGTAATCTGTACAGGAATGCAGAGAGTATTGTGTGCTCATGTGCTGAGATCTTGAAAGGGGAAATGTGGTATTTCACTGTCTGAAACTATCGGTTCACAAGTTGAAGGACTATCATTTCCAAATCTATCATGGACAAAAGTCTGTTGAAGAGGAAAATGGGACAGATCATTTTATCTGCCTCTTTGCTCAGGACGAGCCAGGAAATAAGGATGTTCAGCAGAGGCTTTTGAGAGTTGAAGAGCAAGTACTTGGTGACAGTCAGTAATAGGAAGGCAGGGCAAATTGAAGAAGTTTTCTCAATGAACGGGTTGAAATCAGCAGAGGAAAAATGACTGCTAGGTAGGTATCTCTATTACATACTGGGGCTTAGAGGCATCATTGTAGTATTTTTGCCTAATAGTAATATGAGAAGGCATGACAGCAAGAGTGTCCAAGCAACATAACCTCATCTTAGTTAAGCTGCTGTTGCATTCAGGAAACCAAGAACAAAATCACACCCAGCAGCACTACCTTTGCTTCCTTATTGCCTACATCACCTCAAGACTGCAGATCACCTGCTTTCAGTCCCCAACCTCCAGTGCAATTTTCTTGCCATTTCTACTATCTAATTAAGCCAGTATGATACAGCAGTTCATTAACCTTGCATTGTTTTCCCAAGCGGAAATACAATAAGTAGTTTGCTTGCTGTTTTCTTTTTCACCCATATCTGTGTATCTAGATTTATATTTCAGATTTAGAACTGAGTTGTACCAAATCCTGGGAGTGCTGATTCTGTTCTGGCAGAAGCTAAGGTACTTAAAAGTGTCAGTGACTGATTTGGGGAGACTGGCTAATCAACTTGGCTGGATGTGGATGCTGCTCATGCAGAATCATCAGGTTTTAAATGATGAGAATCAGCGGAGTTACTTGACTTCATAAATGACCAGAGAAAAAAAAAAATCAGTTCTTTGAGTAGCTATTCAGACCACATTCAATTTTCCACAGCTAGATTAGCTATTGGAACTAGGTGCCCAGGCCCACATGGAATTTTCGGAGAACAGCAAGGCTCACTGTCTAGAGCCCACATTAAACATAGAAGGAAACAAGATCCTCAAATTCAGTCAGCTAAATTCAGTGCCAGAGATGGCACCACAAGAATAGTCCAGTTATGTTGAATCATCTTATGTCACCTCACAAATGCAGCATTGTTATTATACAGCTAAACTCTGTATTAAACCGAAGGTACTCTTCACTTAAAAAATATAGCCTGACAAAATTTACTCCTAAATCTAAGTGGAACTAATCTGTCCACATGGGAGTTGCTAGGAGTATGCCAGACAGCTAAATTTATAGAAATAAAGATGGGAATTTAAGTGGGAAAATACTCAGTTAACTTCTGATGCAAAGGAGCTTTAAAAATTGATGTATTGTTAAAGGAGGACTATTAGTATGTTTTATACCTGTCTCTCTTATTTGAAAAGTCTGAAGTTTTTAAAGTCCACTAACCCATGTCTTCACAGAGTAGAATTTCCTCAGGGTGTGAATTGTCTCAATATGTACATACAGCCCCAGACAGACAGAGTGCTCAAGCATTAATTCAAACTTCTGAATATTATCATAATTCAAATAATAAATTATTTGAAACAGTGTCACTTTTAAACTGCTTTAGTGCAGATGGTCTTTTTCTTAATTCCCAGCCCCATAGTTAGTGAGCTGAGCTTATTGAACTGCTTGCCAATTCTGTTAAGAGCAGATGGAGTGAAACGGGATAAAGGCAATATTTCAGTGCATCTCCCATGCATCAGCTCCCACTCCCAGATGCCATTATCGACATACATTTTACAACTCCACATCTCTAGCCATCAGTGGTTAGAATTATAAAGAGGTTGAGCATATTTGGCTTGAATGTCAGTAATCAATAAGGATGCTCATTTGGCTTAATAAGGATAAATTGTTGCCCTTGAAACAACGTACCATTCCAGCAGTCAAAATGGACTAAGACTAGTTCCTTGATATTTGTACTAACTGTGGGTGTCTGTTTGCATGTGTGTGTGTGCACACAGTTATGTTGTGCATTTATCTGACTGTTCCCTAGCACTATGGATTTCTCCTGTGTGTCTTCCAATGTATTAAATTAATTCCTTTAAGTACTCACCTTTTAAAAGCTCATTTCTTCCACTTCAGGCTGGCTTTTTTTTCTGAAGACTTTCATTACAAACTCTGTCTTTCTAAAAAGCTCCCAGTTTCCCCTTCTAAAGCCTGCTGACAAAACATCGTAGGTGGGATTTTTCAGAAGTGCCTGCTGTGAGTGGTCCGTTGCTGCCTCTAAAGTCTGTGATCAAATTCTGTCCAGCTGTAGCTAGGGCAGATAGGCCTTTGTGCAACAGACTTAAATTAATTCTGAGTGATTAGGAAATACTGATCTTACTCCTATGAGAAGCAGTTACATTTTTTATAGAAAGTATAAGTGTTCTGATCCCCCAGAAATACATAACAGATAAGCATGGCTAACGTCAAGATAAGTAGATCCCTGGAGACTTAATTTTTGATGTTTTAATAAATAAACCAGGACATTTAGTAAATAAAGCAGGTCAGGAGTTATCCTTTGGCTCTCAGACTAGCTGGCATGTGCAATCTGCCGCCAAATGGCTAAACTCCTCTGTGCAAATAGCAGTGGCTGCATGGAGCTTTCCTTGTGGGACTTGTCCCAGGCATTTTCTGAGAGACTATTGTCACCAGGCCAGACCATGTCAGAGGCCATTCTAGCAATGTAACAGTATGACTGACTGGCCATACTGCACCCATTCCCTGGCACTTTTTACTTTATTAGTACAAATATGATGTATTTATCCAGAATTTTCACTGACCTCCCCAAAAGTTTTGTCACTCCAGATCAACTTCCATTGCAGGGATGTTCTTCATCTAAATTTCTTTTTAAAGTTGGCAGGAGCTCTGTAACCTATCTGGCAGACTCAGGCAAGTATACATTTGAGAAAGTGTGGAGGCTGCAGGAAGCATCCAATATTGCTGAGGCTTACTGGTAAACTGTTGGGGTGGAAGTCTGCAGCACTACTTTCCACTTCCCCAGATGTCTAGAAGTCTTCCATCTGTGAAGTCTATACTGTCAGTAAATTTTCAAACCTAATATCAGGACATGACAAATGCCATGCCAATTGCAGTAAAAATGGGAGCTTCTGTGAGCCACAGTATTCATTAAAGTTCTCTTTGCCCCCTGTATTCCAGGAGTTAGTATAACGAGGCCTAATATTTTCTGTGTCTTGCCACTGAATGCAAGAATGACAGATCCTTTTCTTGGCTGGGAGCTGAGTCTGTGTCAGTTCATTGCAAGTGAGTAAGTGTACCCTGACTATGGAACTACAATGTCTGAAAGACACGCTGCTGTGTAGTAGTTTCTGTGGGCTGGAACCAGTCACCCGTGTTTTAATGTCTGCTCATGTAATTTTTAACCTTCTGTTTCTTTCCCTTTCCTGGCAGATTTTTATTGGTGAAATATCCATGTATTTCATAAAGTCAACCCGAGAAACCCTAATTATCCAAGAGAAAACTATTTTGACTGGAGAGTGCTGTTACCTGAACCCACTGCTTCGAAGAATAATACGTTTTATAGGTAAGCATCCTGAGCACTGCAAGCTTAATCCCTATCTGCACCAACACTGAACAAAATATCCTAATAATCTACACACAGTGAATTAGGCTGTGACATCTTTGCAGGCATTTTCCAATTTAGAGGGATAGTCCCCCTCGGGATTTGCAAGGTAGTGGTCAAAATGTGCTGTATCATGCTGTCTGGAGCTGGTTTATATGCTATTCTGCTGAGCTTAATGCTTCTTCTGGACCCTTGAAGAAAGGTTATGCCAATCAAATCTTTATATGAATAATTCCATCATTGCTAGTCTGTGTAAGCTTCCCATTTTACTTCTGAATTGGTCCTTACCAGCCCAGGACACCAGCCCATCTCTTTGGCATTTTTCTTTTCAGCTCTAATGTTAACATCCATAGCTCTGCCACTTGATATTCAGCTGAGCACAGTGTAAAAGAATTCAGAGTCCACTTCAAAATAATGTTCTTATTTTTATTGTATTTGGGTTTTGTTAGAGCTTTTATTGAGTTAATCGCTGAGAAATGAATAAAGAAGTTCTGTCGCTAAACCATTTGGAGGTTGCTTTATATGGTACTTGCAAACTACTATGCCTTTTTCACAGCTGATTAGCAGAAAAAATGCCCTTGAGACCTTACTGAGGAGACTGTTCCATTGAGAGCAGAAAGACAAACAGCATTACAGCTTGTGTTTCTGCTGTGGCCCTAGTTATCTTCTGAAGGCTACCCACTTCACAGCCAGCTCAAACTGCACCCCTCATTGTTTAGAGATAAGGAGGCCTGGTTGCTCACTTACTCTTTCCCTGTAGCATCAAGGTAAGAAGAGGGCAGCTCCGAACTGCACATGCAAGGGACTCTAACTTCCCTCCTTCTTACTTGTTCATGACAAGTCCCAAGTTCATGCATGGGGTGGGATGGCTTGTCTCGCTGCTAGCATGGGCCAGTAGTAAACATGGCTCCCCACTAACCAAGAGGGGATTTGCCACAGAGCATCACAGCACCTCCCTCCCTGTATGCTCTTAGAGGTAAAGCATCCTTGCATACTGCATCTTACAGAGAGCTGGGTCTGAATTCACAGTCTTGAGTTAAAAGAAGCAAGGGGAAAAAAAGCTGGAAATACCTGGATTGCTTCTTCCCTGTCACTGCTGAATTTTTGAACTTTTACTTATCTGGAAGAAGAACATATAGTGTGACTGTGGCAAAGGTTGTGTTGCATCCATGGAGCTCAGCCCTGGCTGCAGGAAGGGATATTTGCTCAGAACATGGAGTTGAAAGTCTTACCATGTGTTAAGGTTTTCAGCAGCAGCAAGTATGTGCTGGAAAGGAGGAAAAGCCATGGTTTTCTTTCTCCCTCTATTCCATTTGTGCCTCCTCCTTTATGAATGGAAGTTAGAAAGTGAACTGCTTTTTTACCTTCTGCCACACAGGGGGTGGAGACAATCCAGCTCTGGTTCATTACTCATGCCTGGCCTGTGTGCTCCTTATGAAAGCAAAAGACATGGGAATGCAGTTGAAAGTAAAATACCCTTGAACTTCACATAACCTCTAGAATATATTGATGGATAGTAAACTGCCATTAAGAGAGAAGTAGAGTACCAGAGTCCACTGGGCCACTCAGGGATGTTTGACTGTTCATCACATTCAGCATGTTGCGAAGTCCTAATCAAAAACTCTTGCCTGAGGGGTCAGCACTAAAAGAGCTTAGACCATGGAGGCTGAGCACTTGCTCTATATGTTTTCTTTTAGTTAGTTTTATTCTTAAACGTTCATGCAACTGTTTCTCATCTGGTAGAAGAGAAGAGGGTAGAGATGGGTAGTGATGATACAGTGGACTCTCAGAGAATGGTAGGATATGAACACTGCTAGAGAAATTGATCTTGGCTTTTCAGTTACATTTGTTTTCCTGAGAAAAGTGAAGTTAACGCTATTAGGAATGGCTTAAAGTATTTGTCTCATCTTTAACGACACTGATTGTTTGCTTGTTTTTTTCTGAAGCCTCCTCCCCCAGCAGAGTTTGTTGAAAAGTGGCTGAAATAATTTATGGAAGGAACTAAAAATAACTGCACATTTGTCACTGACATTCCACCTGCATTTTGAAAACATGACATGGACTGAGCAGCTGTAGCCCATGCTGGATAATCAGGGAAGTTAGTGTCATACAGCAGCTTACTCCAAAAAGAGGCTACCTGGATGCTTGGCTCTGGAGAGACTACCATGTTGCTCATACATGGATTTCCTTGTGTGCATCTTCTCTTGATAAACTTGAGGGTGGTAAGTTACAAAGCTGATTAAGTAGGTTGCCTTCCAAGATACCCTAGCAAGCAGTCTGGCTTGTTACAAAGAAGTTTGCTGCCACTTTAGTCTTGGTACAAATTCACTGGAATGTCCACATCTGATGATTTCTTTTGGCCCAGATGGGTGAGCAAGAGTCTTAAGTGAGTACCTGCAAAAAGTGGTAAATGAACTTTTTGAATACTGCCTTATAAGTCATTACGGTCATTACAGGTATTACTCAAAAGGATGAGAAAAATCCTTCAATGTGTTTGTGTGCTCATGTATAAGAAAAAAAAAAAACACCGCTTCCTGACCCTGCAAGGCACATCATGGAGAGCTTTTGAGAGTTGCTATTCCCAAATTTTATAAAGTCAAATAGGCTTTTTCTCCCTCCCTGACTGTTGCTGAGAGGAGGCGGGATTTTAAGAGTAGTAGCCTAAATGTGCTTTCTACAAAACAAGCAGAAAGTAGTAGATACTTCACTCTTTTGGTGATGTGAAAGGTAAGCACCCTTGTCATACTACCTCCATGGGATCTTTTGGATTTTGTTGCTAGGCTTGAGCCTTTTCCCCTCTTACATAATGAAGCACTTTCTTGCACTTTGATAGTGGGGCAAATAATTAAGCAAAACCAAAAGCCTGTGACTCTTCTGGGATCTTGGCAAAGCCCCATGTTTATTGATTTTTCTTATCTTGCCTACCATACTCTCTGCTTATTCTCTCCTTGTTTTCCTCGAGCCCTCAGCAGCTGTCTGTTTCTAAGATTGTCCCCTCTTGAATTTAGTGGGGATCTTGAATGTTGAGCTTTGTCTTAAATCGTTTCCTGGTTCTTTGTCCACAGGAAGCAGAACCAAAATTTCTTCTTGCTTCCTGGCCCAGGAATGAATTCTAAATGTTGACAGACATTTCCTTATATGGTGAAGGGCTGCCTCTCAATTTGCTTCAGTGTATGTCAAGTTTTTTATTGCAGCCTAGATTGGTGAAACCTGTTATGTTCCCTGTATTTAGAAAATCAATACCTTTATCAGTGAAAAAAAGCTGGCTTAGCTTGGAAACATCAGACTTTGATAAATGTTGCAATTTGTTCCATCTTCCTCTTATCTTTTATAGATGCTTCTACAGACATTTATTTTGAAGATTTTCAGGTCAAACAAGTGGTGCACAATTGCTTTGGAGCAGTTTTTTCTATCTAAAATATTGGTGCAGCACTGCTATTCTTTAGTCACATCATCTCTCCTCCTTCCTCTTCCCACCCCTTCCAGCAGTTTTGTTACAAATTTCTGCTGCCAAAATTCCCCACTTATATGCTGGACCTCTGAGAAACCAAGGGGTAAGTAAGAGTGGTTGTTTTTTGGGCATCTGCCTCCTATCCCTTACTCCCAACTTGACTACACACAGCCTTTTGTATTTTTATTCACCATGTCTTGAGGTAATTTCCCGTTTGGTACTTTGTTAACATCTTGCCATCTTGCATTTGCTTCTGTGTTCTACTTCTTTATTTGTTTTGAAAATAGTTGTTATAAATTATTTTAGCATTATTTCGTGAATGGTTTCAGTCAAGGCTCTAGTCTGCTTGTATACAGCTGCTATCATACCCGCAGGATCATGGATTCAGACCTCCCTGACTCAGTTTGGCAGGGTGACTAGAGTGTGCACTGTGTTGCATTTCATTATATTAGGTTTCTAATCGATGCGATTAAGTTGTATACCTGCAAATCCCTGATAACACGCAAGTAGCCTGTCTCCAGTTCAGATATTTAGAAATGCAACGTGGCTCATGAATTTGTTACGAGTGGATTTTACTTTGGACCTGCATAATTTGGAGTTAACAAATGGCGCAGATCAGCTTCTGCTGACAGCTTAATTTAAAGCATGGTGACACCTCACAGTGGGCAGCTAAATAATGAAATTAGGGCTTTATTTCAGCAAATTAAGGCTTTAGTTCAGCAAATAAAGGTTTACAAGATTTATACATATATTGAGTTTATTGTAATGGGATACGTATACCCCAGAGCTCTGATGTCAGTTCCCTGGGAAACTGCAGGACATAATTTGCCTGACCTTATTCTTCTGTCTGCCTTGGATCTGAAGTTCACTATGAAACAATGCACATTCTGTTATTAACTGGCTGCCTTTAAGCAGGGCTCAATCTTTATTTGGGTGTGCTGTCTCTAATCTAAACTGCTGCACCAGTTTAAACTACTGTAGGACTCCTTATTACCACAGAATGTCCATAATGAGAAACAGGTCACTGTGTTGGGAACAAATTAAACCTTGTTGTTCCCTTTTATGCCAGGCTCTCAGCTAGCTGTTGTCTAGATGAAAACTGATAGTTGTGAAGCAGCGAGGAAGAAACAAATCCTGTGTGTCTGTGGGGAGGAGTCTCGAGGCTCCAGAGTACTTTTGCACCAGGAACTGAATTTCTTCTTGCATCCTCAGACCACGTCTTCCTTCTTACGTCGTGATGAACAATATCCAGGCAGGACACTCACAGGTGTAGCAGGCAGACACAAGAGGTGGTAGATGCATAAAGCAGTGAGCTTTTTGGGGTCTGCACTGGGAGATCAAAGCCAATCCTGGGATCATATTGTTAGTGTTCAGAAGCAGCTTGCTGTTGAGCCTGTTCCTGATGCCACGGTCACAGACAATAAATTTCCCTGCAACTCCCATCTCTCCAGTTGTAAAACAGATTAATGATACACATCTTCTTTAACAACACCCTTTAAGATACAGTGATGAATGGTGGTTTAGCAGAGTCTGAGCCACAGGACTATAAATGAATGGCTTTATTGGATACACAGGACCATTAGAGCAAAACCTTCAGAGGATCTGCACTTCCATAGAGCCATGAGTCCTTCCAGGGACTCCCTCCACTGAAACTCTAATCTTCCTTAAAAAACATAGTGGGTGGGAAGGGGTTTGGGAGAGTGTGAACATGCATGTGTAACATGAACATTTTCCGAACAAATTAGGTTGCATATGACAAAATCACATAATTGACTGGGCACTGGGAGAGAGAGGAGTGCTTAAATAAATGCCCTTGGCAGAAGACATGACAATATGTTACTAAAGAGCACAGCTTCTGTTGTTTCATGAGCCCTTCAATGCATTGTTTCTTTTGTCACTTTACTTAAAGGTTTCATGGGTTTTCTGTAATAAAGCCTTCTGCCTCCTCATTCTCATTTCCACCCACAGCCTTATCACTTCTATCTTCCTGATGTCTTTTCAGCTGCTCTTCTACAACTCCCAGGGGGTTTTTGTTGATTTTTTTTTTGCTGTTTTTTTTTTTCTTTTGTTTTTTTTTTATTTCAAAACACTGGCATTTTGAATGTCTGTAATTGTGAGAGTTTCCATGGAGTCAACAAGCAGCCAGTGATACTAGACAGATTCAGAGTGGAAGAAGAGAGAGCTTGAGCATGAGCTGCAGGGAGAAGACAGGGTTGTACTGAGGTTACAGAGAGTGAGGAGAGCTGCCTTCTTTTTCAGAGCAGATGTCTGTGTTAGTAAAAGAAATAGACAGAGCTGAAGGTGCCAACACTGATGAACAGCCACAGTGGGAGCTCGGCAGGAGGAAGACCATTAGAGTAACACGTGAATGAGAGCTCAGAAATTATGGTTTGTGCTTGAAGGACTTTTTGGCAGCAATTCAGGGGGAGGTGTAAGTGGAGAAATTAAAACTGAAGCATTCAAAATTGAAGCTGCTGAAGATTTAGATTCTTCTGCCAAGGCAAGTGTTAGTTCAGGTGAGGTGGAACTGGAAAGATTTAAGGTTCATTTTGTCTGTCCCTTTCTGAACAGGACTTTCTTTGTTCCTTTTTTGGTTTGCACATTTAATTTGTCTGAGGTCTTTCTCACTGGAGGTAAAGATATATTCAAATCTGATCCTCAGTTCCTTCTTCTTGGACTCTGGGGCAGCTAACAGTAACAGCAAGTATAGTATATTCTCTGTCTCTGGCCTAAACTAGTCTCTCTCCCAGTTACATTCTACTTACTGGTTTGCCTTCTAGTCTCTTCTTTCTGGCTACTCCGGACACACAAAACACAGCTGAGAGCCAGGACAGTGACAAAAAGCCAGGAAGCCTTTCCAGAAATAGCTTCTGCTCCTTCTTTAAGGCTTCTTTGTGCAGCCAGACTATGTGACACGTGGATGAGGGGAAGGGGTGGCTTTTTGTAAATGAAATTAACCTCTGTCCATCCATTCTGCTAGTAACCAACTTTGGAGGCTGTAGGTCTTCTTCCTATGTGGCTTGCACTGTTTACATCTTTTTTCAGCATATAGTAAGTTCTGGACTGAAGTTCACTCCCAGGCTTTCTAGGCCAGCGTAAGCACAGTGAGATAAAGCTCTTGCTCCTTAGCAGAATGCCATCACCTCCCATTACACCTAAGCGTATGGAAGAGATACATGTTCTCCTATTCTCTCTCTGTGGCATTATATCACGGACTTCAGCTGTATAATCCTGAAGACCAAGGGCTAGTTGACCTTCCCATGAAGCCTTTCAGCAGCAATTTGTTTGCCTCTAAAAACATGGCAGTCAGATCACTGCATTCTCGTGCTCTGGTCAGTGGGCTTATCTGCTGTAGGTCATTGCACAAATCCATTGAACAGATGGATTCCTGAGGTACAGAAACCATCAGGGGACTTTCCAGAACTACCCAGGCTCACTGGTGTTAAGCCTTTAAATCAATTACAGCCAACCCTATCTCAAAGTCTCCAGAGACTATATGATGTTTAATCAGTCTGCAAGTGTTAAAATTCCTGCTAGCCAAATTCATTGCTGCACATAGCTATGATTTTCATAAGGCACAGTTTGGCAGAACTGCAAGAGGGGAATTACAGTGATCAATATGCATCACAGTCAGAGCGTGATAAAGGTTTCAACCATGGCTTGTTCTGCAGAGTACTGCAGCCCTCAGCAGTTGAGTCTGGGCCAGCACTTTCAGTGCTACCAAATACTGAGAAAATGCAGACATTGAAACTTTTTTTTTTTTTTTGATAAAAACACTGGACCACCTTTGTATCTGTGCACTGCCTAGAGATTGAAATAATTTTGTGAAGCCCATGAGCTTTTTCTGAAGCACCTTGGTTCTTGGTTTGTACTTATTTACATTATAAAGGCCATGGGCCAGACTGCCCTGGCTCTTAGATTTCTAAGTATTGTAAAATGCTGGGTAATAATCCCCATTGCATTCCCTGTGATTTGCACAGTGCATTGAAACGATGCTATTTAAAGCGTGCTGTGCCAAAAAAAATTTAAGAATTTGGCCAAAGAGCCATGTATAAAACAAGATTGATCTCTGGCATAACTTGCTGTTTCACCAGGCTGAAAAGATACCTACTGCCTTTTTCCTTTGAACTTTCTTGTGCACTGGCCAATGTAGATGAGGAATTCCTGCCATGGAATTGACATGGATTAAACCACGGATTTAAAATATTAGCAGAGGGATAAATGAAATAGAAGAGTAGTGTCAGTGCTCTCTCTCCATTTCCCTTTCAAACACAGACACATAGCAGGATAAATGGGAGGAAGACTGTCATGCCAGTAAAGAGGCAGGGACCAGTCCTTCAGTCGAGAACCACCGGAAGGCTACCTCCTCCTTTGACCACCACTGGCTTTTTAAATCCATGATCACACATCATTTCCTTAATAATGAATAATAGTAAACTCATATAAAGAATAGTAATAAACTCGGTCCCCAAAATCACCTACGCCGTGGTAGCGCTCCTTCCTAACCCTGGAGAAGTGTGGTGAGGACAAATGGCTTTGCAGTCCTGCAGCCGCTCCAGGCTGCTCCCCAAGGAGAGGGCTCTTCCCACCAGTACCCCAGTGGGGAATTTGTGTGACCACACAGGTGTGTCACTCCCACCACTCCATCTCTGTCAGCAGGTGGCACTGGCAGTTCCCCATTGACACTTGTACAATTAATCCATTTTGTTATTGGTTTTATTTTATGTTACTGTCTGTACAAGTGTCCTATGTGCAGATAAGCCCTGAATGTTTAGAAGGACCTAACTCTGTCAGCTGTAGCCCTTCTGCATTCTGTTAGCTGCATGGTGGGTAACAATATCTGCAGAGAAAACCTTGATTCTTGCTAATTTGATGTAAAGCATTTTCTGCTACATTATATTGCTGACTCCCTGATATATTTTTGTTTCTCAGACTATAGCAGTCTTTTGGTTTTTTGTTTTTTTTTTTTTTTTAATTCAGGTCGGATAAACAGTGAAGTTGTTACAACCATGGTGGTGCCAGCTCTTAATATTTTATCACAGCACTCCTAAGATGTTTTCCCTGAAGCTCGAGCTCTTAGTCATATTTAAATATATAGCAATCTCAGCTAATTTATAATTTAAATGACTTTTGCTTACAGAGCTACAGGAGAGAAAAAGCAAAAATATATGAACCTCAACATTCTCACACCAAAAGTAAATATTAATTTGTTCTAAATGTTTGTGTCACTTTAATCCACCTTAGTGATGGGGAGGGGGAAAGGGGAGCTGATTTAATCATTTGGAATGCTTAAGTTTGGCATTTCTGCAAACCTACTGTTCTTTTACTTTGGTATGTAGGCAGTACATGCAAGTAAAAGATCCTCATATATGTTCATAGCAGTGTAGCAGGAATTGATAATATTCATAGGGAGTGAGTAGAGGATGTGACCACTGCAGTATTGAGCAAGGGATGCTCCACAACCCTGGAAATATTCCTGCATTCAAGTGAATGCTTCCTGCTATAGCATTTGTGGGTATGTGCTCCCAGTGACATGAGCTGAACTGCAACTGTGTGGAAATGTCTTCCAGAGCAAAACATTAGGACATTTCCCAAAGGAACTGCCACATACTGCTAGATCAGGATCTTAATTTTTCAACATCAGGTGGTGAATAGTCAAAATCTGAAATGTGCTCGACACTAGATGGTTATGTTAAGTGCAGTACTGTGTCTCAGCACTACACTGCTCTTTCAGGTTTCAGAACACTTATATTACCATGTTTTGGCCCAGATGTGCTAAAAATACTTAGACATTTTTAACAACTCGTGTGCATGACACTTGACTGTAGGCTGTGAGCCTTTGTCATAGTGGAAACTTTGCTGGCACAGTATAGGTGCAGTGTTTTCAGTGAAATCTGTAGCTCACAGTTCTGTTCAGAGCTTGAATCTCAAAAGTACTTAAACACTTACCATTTTCAGCCTGTTTCTGAGTTCTTCTGGAATCACTGAGTTTAAGCACCTGTCAGAGTTAAGCATGCAGTCTTCTGTTTCATGCCTTTGATGCAGGACTTTGCTGGCATCAGCAGAGGCTTTTTCTGGGTAATGACTGCAGGGTTTGGTCCCTTACCTCTCATTACACATCTTCCTTTCAGGTGACAAGATACTTTTTAAAACCTGTTTGCATAATCATTATTTTTAACCTTTTCCTCACAGGAGTGTTTGCATTTGGACTTTTTGCCACTGACATATTTGTAAACGCTGGCCAGGTTGTGACTGGGAACTTGGCACCCTACTTCCTGACTGTATGTAAACCCAACTACACTGGAAATGACTGTCGCACCCACCACCAGTTCATAAACAATGGTAACATCTGCACTGGGGATATGGAGGTGATTGAAAAGGCAAGGAGATCCTTTCCATCCAAACATGCTGCTTTGAGCATCTACTCAGCTTTATATGCCACGGTGAGTGCCAGTGATGATTGCTAACTTGTATGAGAGGTTTCTGTATGTGCATCTATATTGGGGCCATTTTTCTTACAGTGTTTTTTTGAAGAAAAATAGGGTTGTTTTGGGTAGGGATTTCTTCTTTATCTGTAGGAGAAAATCCGCCCCCCTCCTCTGTTTTACCAGTCCTAGTATAAGCAAATCAAGTGCTCATTGCTTTTGAGGCACTTTATGATGTGGAGGCATGAGATCCTAATCTTGTCTTCGCTGTTGATCTTCTGAGAGGCCTCTGAGTATGCATTCAACCTCTTCTTCTCCCTGCCCCTGTCTCATGAACATTAAAATAAAGTTGATGCTTCAGCGGCTTCTGGATCATTACTATTTCTTTTGTTCACATGCCATGGGTTGTTGAACATTTAAAATGTAAATTATGCCATTTCAATGGGAGGCTGAACTAGGCTGGATTTTGCTCCCCTTGTTTAGAACCTGAACTCTCTGTGCAAAGAAGGTTGTAATAAAAGTCAGTGCCAGAACTTTGCTGTTTTCACAAAGAAATGGACCCCAGTTGACATCTTGACAAAGTGACAGTGCTGTACTGTCAGGAGGAGATTGTCTGCCTGTAAAAGTCTAGTGAAGCAGATTGGTTGCCTCTTTGTGTTCTCTGGCTAAAGTTTTCATAATGTTTGAAAACTGATCTAAGAAGTTTATTCACAAAGTAGAAAACCTTGGTGGTTTTACCGTTAAGATCCAAGGGCTTAACCTGGTTCTGATCTCAAAATGGCTTAACTAGTTCTTTTTTCCCCCAATAGCTTGACTCAGATGAGTGTCAGAGTCTGTCTGTAGGTCATCAGGATTTGAGAAAAGCCTTAAACTTATTAATGACAGGGTATTTACTGAGTATTTTACCTTGATCTTGGTAGCAGATGAATAAACAACCACATTATTACTATAAAATGAAGAGGCCACCTGCTACTGTTTCAGTACCCATCTGTTTGCACTGAATATTGTGTGAGTAATGATGGAAATATAAATTGGTAACTCCTTTGATCATCATTTGTTGGGAAGTGTTTGAAAGTCCCTAACATTTTGTGTGCATTACTTCCGAGTAATAAGCAGCCATGTGTGAAATACAGTTCCCAATAAACTCAACATTGTCGTAGAATCTGTTTTCACCATGATAAATTCTTAGGTGGAAGTTCCAGGACCAGGCTTGGTTTTGGGTCTGCCCTAAGCTAGTTATATCGTTTCATGGACTTTCCATGCCCAACCTCCCTTGTTTCCCAGGAAGGCGAGTCTTCTACAGACAGGTTGATTTCTACAATTGAAGGGGAATAATGCTTTCCTGAGCTTAAGTCGCCAGTAGTTCAATGCTTCTGAGCCCTAGTCTTTCAAGAGTACCTGCGGTGGGCCTGCACTTCTCACCACATAGGAAGATAACAGGTGGAGTCAGGACATGGAGTTATTTCTGAGCTGCAAGATCATAAAAGTCTGCCCTTAAGGCCTTTCAGCCTACAGTCCAAATTTAGCCCAGTTTTCTGCCTGAAGACACCCTCTAGCACTAAAGGTCTTGTCACTTGTATTTTCTCTGCCTGTCAGCTGGGAATAACATGAGCATTACCCAAGAAATGCAGTGTTCTGATCTAGCTATGCTTAATAATTGTGCTGTGCACAGTTTTTTGAGAAGTGTCTTGCTGATTCTAATATGCATGATAATGTGGGCTGCTGAACATAAAACACAGGGTATTTGGCTAGTAATAGCTGTATTTTGCATAAAGCTGAAGATCTGAGCCATAGAGCAAGAATAATTAAACAGTTTGAACATGAGGCAGGAGAATGGAATCAACACAGACACTGTCTTTCATCATATAAATGTCTGTTGCGATCTCAGAGTCTCCTCCCATCACTGAACCTTGAGTATCCTCTGCAAATGTCTCTGTGCTGATTTGTTCATTAGCTGCTAGTGAAAGTACTCACACTGTGATTGGTTTGGCTTTGTGGTTTGTTGTTTATTTTTTTTTTTAAATCTAGATTTTGTATTTAATCAACTAGGCTTTTTCTTGTCACCTGCCAAAGAAGCTGAGGAGAACCAAAACCATCATTTTTCTGATCTCTGTGGGCAGAGATGAATCTTGTATGCTTGAAGTAGGGGGAAGGAGAAAGCAGCCGACAGCCCTGGCTTCCATACTTGCACAAAAATTAGAATGGCATCTAATGAAGTTTTAGTAGTTTCCCAGAAGTATCACAGGAAGGGTTGGCGGTCACTGTACACAGTACACACTGCTGTACAGTTAGAAACACATGCTTCTAAGTACCTTTCCAAAGGGATAATTATAGCCTAGAAATACTCCTTAATTCATTAACATTCGTGACAAAAAACCCAAAAAAACAGTTGATAAAATCGTATGTTGCATATGGGTATTCCAGTTACATCATCTTTAAACAACTGTTACTTCATGCTCTTTTGAGAAAGGTCATGGAAGAGTCAATGCCAAGGACATCTAGTAGATGGTAGCGTTCAGCCAGAACATGGAAAATTAAAGTATTTCACCAGCACAACTGCTGGACCTCTTATTGTAGACAGATGATCGATATCCTTGCTGATCCTCCTGCTTGCCTCTGGAGTGAAAGCAAGGAGAATTGTTTTACAGTCACAACAGGGTGTCTATGATTGAAAGATAGTAACTAATCACTTACTTTCACTGTTTAGTAGTGTTTTTAGGATTCTTCATCTAAGTTCTTGTCTAGTGGCATTCACGAGTAATGCTTTCTGTCACTTCCATCTGTCTAGAAGATTACCTCATCACACTGGATCATGACCTGGCATCTGTCCTTTACACGTGCATGTGTTGCTTCTTAGCTGTATTAGAGTGACACAATATACCTGGACATTAAACTTTCAACATTTGTGAAATTCTGAAGAGCAGAGAACACTATAGCAAATCCCTTCTGCAACCCAGGTCACTGTGACCCCACCAACAATTTCTTCCATTTCTTCAGTAACACCTACCAGACTAATCAATGAAATTAAAGTCCTTTGCACTTCAAGCACCTGCCCTGAGTCTCTAGGATACTGCATCATGTTCTACAATGCACATCATTGTCAAAGGCTGTGCTTCTCTCTTACTGTATAAATCTCTATGTTAAAGGAAAAAATTGTACAGCTTGTAGGACGCAAAATTTTCCAGTATTGGTATGAAATTGTGAACTTTCCAAGGAAAATAAACTATCACAAATCTCCACCCTTTCTGCTGAAAGGACAAGACAGACTTCTTCCACTCTGCCTTTCTCATCATAGGATAAATGCTGCTATCACACATTGCACATTGCTAAATGCACTGCTTGAGTGTGCTGATAAGAGCACAGCAAAGAAGCTGAATAGATAATTTATATAGCTAAAGCATATGCTGTTTATTTTTTAATATGCTTAATCTGTTTTCTTCACAACTTTTTATATTCACTACCTTCCTCCTTCTTCCACCCATCAAATAACTCGTTTTGACATTTAGAGTTTTGTAAATAAATTTACCCTATATATATAGCATTGTGGGAAATTTTCAAAAGCACCTGCTGTGTGTAGGAAGTCAAATATAAGTGACTTTCACTGAGATTCTGGGCTCTTACACAAAGCTTTGAAAATATGCTCTAAGTGAAAGGGTAAACACATCGTAAGAACCTTAAAAAATATCTTGGCCTTAGGGACCAGGACAGTAAAGATCAAACCACAGCGATTGGTAAGTCTGACCAGCATGGAGAATATATCCCAGTTATTTCTTAGGTCATTGTGTGAATAATGGATGAACTGGAGCATACCATCTAGGAAAACAGTTTTTCCTGTTTTAAACCCTCCTCATGAGGGTTTAACAGATTTCCCCTGGCAATCTGTTCACATGGTTAATTACTCTCATTGCTGAAATGTTGTCTTTACTACAAGTTTACGTTTTCCTACTGAGATGTGTGGCACTTCAAATACATTAGATACTTCTCATCTGCAGTAAGGAGAACTCTCCCATGTGGGTAAGCCAAATATCCACCTTCATCTCGTACCTGTAAGAAAACAAGCACGTGTGTGTGTTCTCTGTGGGTAGGGTTTGCAGCTGGACCACATTCTTAAAAGAGATGATGCTTTTCCTTTGGATGCTGTAAACCACAGTAGTGCTTTGGTGGGGAACAGGAAAGCAATCCAGCTCCCTACTTCTCATTTGAATTGGCTTCTGCTAAAAGAAATGCATAGGGTGAGTGGCAATTATTTACACAGTGGCAATGATATGTTTTCCTATTGTTTCCGAAGAAGAACATTAACGTGAGTTTTGGTGGCAGTCAGGTGCAGCTCGGCCTGCCAGCACAGACTGGGGTGAGATTGCCGCCTAGTGCTCAGATGCTAGCTGTCATTTCAAGGCATGTGCTGCAGTCAGGTGTTAGGTTTGAGAAACAAAGCAAGCGGGAACCTCTTGAGTAGCTTAGTCACGTTCCCAGTGCTATTACACACCATAATGTTCCAGTTCATAAATCGAATTCACCTTTAAATGATGTGTTCAGCAGCACATTTAAGGGCAGAAGACTTCACTTCCCCAGACAGAGCTCTGGCAAATCAGCTTCTTGGCAGGTGAAAGTGTAATTTTGCCTAGGTACAGGTCCAGAGGCAGTCAAATTTGCCTTCCCCCAGTCGGTTTCTCTGGCCCATTTCTTACCCTTCTACGAGGTGGTTGCTGCATCCCTTCCCTTCTTCTAGCATTATGTATTGTAGTGGGTTTAGGACTAATATTTTAACACCATCCAGCAAGGGGGAGCCAGCTGTAGGGGCATTTGATGGCCCAGTCAGGGAGACGGGAAAAGATACACGGACAGGAAGGAGGTTAGCGTAAAAATTACACACAATACAGTGGAATAAAGGAATATATGAAGGGCAGTGAACAGAGTGACTTTGAGAATGGCTATAATTTCTGTTTCTTGATCCCAAAACTATGTGCCAGACCACAGTGACCTCTATGCATGGCTCATGAAGAAAGGGACAGACATTAAAATATGGTAAAATAATTGTCTGTCGTTGCCAAATAGATGGAGTGTGAAGCAAGCTGTGCTGGTAGTTGCAATTGGAAGCAGCAAGGCAAGCCTCCGCAGGCTTCCTTCAGCACATGCACAGGAAAATCCCGAGGCAGCTTCACCCCAGCCAAGCCATTGCAGTCTTGGCCAGAGACTGGTGGTGTGAGCCAGCACAGTGTCCTTAGCTGCTGCAGTAGCAACAAAGGAGAACAGCTTGAGTCTCCACAGTTCTGCAGAGTCCTGCTCTGATTTCAGTGTTGCCTGTGGCAAAGTGCTCAGCAGTGCCCTTCCCCAGAAATGACGTCATCCTAGAGAAGGATGAGGTTTGTGACCTGCAGACAGCACAGAGATGCCAGTTGTGGTGTTATTGCAGATGTGACTGAAACAATAAGGATCTTCTATAGAGTCTTTTGTCCAAATTAACGGGACCATATTTCCATTTCTGACAACTGAAAAAGGGTCAAGAATGGAGCTGTTTTCAGTTGGGTGATTTTACTATTTTTACAAGAAGAGACAATTTTTTTTCTTTACAAATAAAATAGCATATTTTTATATTAAACACTGGGAGAGATACTTCCATGGCTTGTAATCTGTTCCCCAGCAGAACAGGTGTTTGTACTTTCACTGGATTAGATCTACACTATGTGATTCAGGTTCATTTACCAGCTGATTGATAATGAGAATCAAATTAATTTTTCAAATGTATCTTCCTGATTCAGTTCCATGTATGGGAGGCAGTGTGTCACCTGGAGACATTTCTGGCAAACATGTTTGACGTATTTGCTTTGCTTATTAAAGCTTTGGAAATCATGCAGGCATCCATACCTCCTTGCTGAAAAGGATTTTACTGAATTGTTTTGCCATCAGGCTTGGTTTGCTTGAGCTTTGTTATTCTGTGCCTCTGGAATTATTGCCTGGCTGCTAACTTTGATGCATATGGTTTCACTCTCTCTGCCAAAATGCATTGAAAATAAAATATAAACTGTCAAAGACATGTGGCGTTCATTAAGAAATACTCGGAGCACAATGAAACTTTATGCTCTGCAATGACATTTTCAGAAGCAACTTTGTTTTGAAAGAAATCTCTCTCATATTTGGTGTTTCATTTCATCTTGCAGAGAGAATGTCTGGAATGGTTTCTCTTAATGTTGTCTGCTTCTTAAACTTAACACCACTTAGGAAAGTGGAGGAGCCAGTTCATAGAGATGCTAGGCATTCCATCATGTGCACATTACAGTTTCTGCAGGAGTATGAACATGAATTCTTGACTCCCTTTGCAAACATTTAGTCATGTACACTCAGAGCGCATGTTTGCTAGTACATGAGCAAGTACTTGCACAAGTTAGGAAGTCAATAAAGCTGAGCCTATACATACCAGCTCAGAAAAAGTCCAGTATGTAAATACAGTTTATGGGATACCTGACATCCTGAAACATCGTTCAACTGTCTGTTTTATTCTCTTAAAACTGTTCTCTGAATTACCTTAAACCTCTTCTGCATTTCCCAATGCTTTTTTTAATGAATAATGGGTTTTGTCACATCCTTGCTAATTTGGGATTTGTCTGGGTGGAAAAAGATGTGTTTCTGGAAGAGCCCCTTTTCATTTTTGGCTTGCCGTTGTTTCAGATGTACATCACAAGCACAATTAAAACAAAGAGCAGCAGGCTAGCCAAACCTGTGCTGTGTCTGGGTACCCTGTGTGCTGCGTTCCTCACCGGGCTAAATCGAGTTTCCGAGTATCGAAACCACTGTTCAGACGTGATTGCAGGCTTCATCTTGGGTAGTGCTGTAGCTTTGTTTCTGGTAAGTCCATCAGTCCTTCCACATTCCATTTAAAAATACCTCAGTTTAAAAAAAAAAAAGAAAATTACTATTCTCTTGTGGTCTACTGCAGCTGATTAGTCCAGTTGCTAAGAACTAATTCTAGCTCCATCATCAGAGAAAATCCTAATATGAAATCTGGTTGATGAAAATTAATAAGGCTAATATGATGACATTTGTGCATTGTATATATTTCAAGATTATTTTAATTACTGTGCATGTTCTTACTTGACCTGTCCTGGAAAATGCTTTAAGGATGCTGTATAGTTCAAATAATGTCAAAAGAGGGACAAGCTTGAGACTTCTCTAGCACTCCTGTGTTGCAAAACCCCACTGTCTGCCTGGTACCTGCCAAATATGTAGGATACAGGGTGTTGTCTGGGTCCCTAAGCAGTGATTCTGGTTCCCCATTTTCTTTCAGACCATAAAAGAAATACAGTAGGAAGGAAGGTCAGGACAAACTCCCTGGGAGACAAAACTATCTCCCTTTGCAGCATTTGGAGTTCAGCTGAAATTATTCACCATCTCATAGGCTAAACAAGTGTATTAAAATGTCTCAAAGGTGCTTAGATTCTCACAGAATCTAGGAACAGCATCTCTCTGGACTTCGAATGCTACTTGCTCCCTTGTTGGCAGTCCCTAAGATGCAATCACCCCGTATGTCTGGTCAGGACAATCTGTGTGCTCCCAGTAGCTGTTTCTAGCAGTGACAGCCTGCTTCTGGCCACATTTTGGCCCTGCAGACCTTCTTCCACCCTACAGGTGTCACAAGCCCAATTGCAGAGTGGTGAAAGGGGTCTCCCCAGAGCTTGGAGTGGAGGGGTGCTGTGAGATTCCTGATGCCAGCACAGGACTCACCCAGGCTGCAGCCTGCTCCTTGCTCAGATCCAAAGACCAGCAAAGAGGAAGAGACAACAAGGAGCTGTCTGCAGAAATCACTCTTGACAGCAAATCTGCCAGCTCCTGTATGTTTCTTTTTTCCACTGTGTTCCCAAGCCCCAAACTGCCACGTGTGTTTGCTCTTACTAGCATCACCATGTGGGTGCAGTTAGTCTGGTCATGCACAAGGAGAGGACTTGTGAAATAAACACTACAGCAATTGTTCTGGAAGTATGTGGGAATGGTGCTAAATGAGCTTGACGTCATCCAGATGTGAGGTAGATTCATCCATCCAGTGAGCTGTTTCCACTGTTCGGAATGATGGTCAGAATCTGAAGGGAGTATTTGGCCAATAAAATGCCTCATCAGGCTAGTCCACAGTTCTGCGATGATAAAGCAGACATGGGAGTCTGGCTGTATAAAATGTAAAAAGGCTGAGGAAGGTTCATCACCTCACCTTACAGGCCAGATGAACCCATTTGCCAAGGTAGTCCACCACGCCCAACTATGTCAGTAAACACATCATAGCCCGAGGCTGTGATAGATGATGCTTTGACCCAAAACCCATGTTCTCTGCAAAAACTGACAGTTGTGAGACCCCTGATGATAATTTCTGTGAGTTTTTCCTGGGGACAGAACATGTTGACCTTACTTTTTTTTTTTTTTTTTTTTTCCTATGAATTATACAGGGGATATGTGTTGTTCATAACTTTAAAGGCACTCATGGAGCTACTTCTAAACCGAAGCCTGAAGACCCACGAGGAATGCCGCTAATGGCTTTTCCAAGAGTGGAAAGTCCTCTGGAGACATTGAGCGCACAGGTACTGTAAATCCTCTCACCCAGACCATCACCAAGCACATTTTCTGTTATGGCAGAATAAAAACTAGTTGAATATATACACAGAGAGCTGGTTTTATTCCTAACATTAAGTATTGAACAGAGTGAATTTGCATCAGGAAAGTTTCTTTTAAGGCATTTATCCCTTAAACTACCAAGTACTGTAGATCTTCTGCCCCTGTGCATGTCCAAAGCTAAAGCAGTAGTATTTCACATGCCTCTGCATATAGTTTGTGATAACAAACTTTTGCTTAGAAGAATAGAATACTGGGAGAAAAGTAAAGATAATTCTGTCTAATTACACTTTGGAATGCTTTGGATGTCTGAAGGACTTACTCTAATGTTCATAATCTGAATAAACTGTGCTGTTCAGAAAAATATTAGAGCAATTAGTCTTTTATCTTTATTACTGTTCAGTATCTTCTGTAAGAAGAAGAAATCATATACTGTTTTCTGTCTCTTAAGTCATCAAAAGGGAAGTTAATAGCATTCTTTCAAGTTTGCAGAAAAATAGGTTAGTGGCAGCATCATTATTCATAGTGTTTCTGTTAAACTACTAACTTCAAATGGCTTGTGTTGGCATAACTGGATCATACTGAGCCCTTTCAAAACAGACAAGCAAATAGCACCTGCCAAGAATTTCTGGGAACAAGGAGGAACTGTTGTTCATCAGTTATCTGAAATGCCCTGGTCTAATTTATTTGTTTTTTAAATTGTACTTCCTTTATTATGTGGCCTGTCATTCCTGTGTACATGGTATATGGCAAGATCAGTCATGACTTTTGTTAAACCCTTTGACAAATAAACTGAAAATATGAATTTAAAAAATGGAAATGACACTGTTTCTAATGCCTGGAAATACTTCGCTTATTTGACAAGTCAGTCGGTTTTGATTAGGTAAAGATTTGCTGGAAGACTTTCAACTAAATCTGAAGAACTGTGTGCATTAACTGTTCTCTTGGTGGACTTGCAGCCTAGAAACTAAGTGCTGCATATATATCCACATTGTATTGTGTGTGACATAAAAGGCTTAACAGATTAAAATATCCATAGACAGTGAGAAAAATTTTGTGTAGTCAGCTGTCTATAGCTTCTAGACTGTCAAGTGCAGGTAAGAACTAGGATTTAACTGTTGATGTCCACTATAATCAACAAGATAATTTTCTCTGATTCAGAGTATCAGTCTCTATATGACTGTGCATGTGCCATGCAGGAGTAGATTGGGAAAAAAGTGATCCTACTCTGAATCTATTATAAACCAGTCCTTGGGAGTGGTTGCTCATTACTGTGTCTTCAGAGGTATGAAGTGCATTGCCCCTCTCTGTGCAGATTTCTGCATCCATTCCCACTATTGTTTTGCCTTGCATCCACACAGACCCTGCAGATGCAGTATGATGCAAGGATAACTCAGTACTGCCAGTGAAGTCCTGGACATTGGCTTCCAAGGTTAAATCAACACTGGTTCCACCTAACGAGGATAATGGCCCCATCTTTGTATGGTTTTCAGCTCTGTATCTTCCCTAGTATCAAACTGTGAAGGGTCTACCCACACACATCACGTGAAGCCAAATTGTGGTCTTCTAGGTCCTGCATGACTGAGGACAGACCCACTGTATTAGTTATGTGACTGTATGACGTGCTTGAGCCTGTACTGACAGGTCCCTCTGCGCAGGATCCAGTCCCATTTGAAAGTCTCTATGGAAAAAGTTGCACGTTGTTTTCCAGGCCCATTAGTGCTCATTGCCCAGAAGCAGGGCTTGAGTTCAGCATCTCCCACCGCAAGCTCAGGATAAGATGGCAGTCACATTTGTACTGATCTCTTAATTTTAAATCCGTACATTAGCTGGGCAACAAATTTTATTAGTGACGGATTTTCTCATTTATTTTACACACTAGGATATGTAAATGTCAGAATGTATACAAATGTTCATGTGTTTGTGTTTTCCTCTTCGCAGAATCACTCCACCTCTATGACTGAAGTAACCTGAGATGGAAGACTGGCAACTGAAGTTATTTTTTATTACCCTCCAGTACAATACTCCCAAGACACACAGTTACTAAATGTCTAACTGTGATGACCAGTAATATGTTATGTCTAGTTAGAGGCTAATGTTTTGTACTTTTTTTGTATGAGGAAGTGATGTAGCTTGCCCTGATTTTTTGTCAGCTTTAATATTATTATGCCAGAATTTAAAAGCAAAATGGAAAAAAGAACAAAAAAAACCCTTTTCTTGTTTAAAGTGTGCACTGAGGAACTACATCTATGGAATTGTTGATGTTGTTATGTGATATTTGTACACAATTTCTTTTTTCATTTTTGAATTTATATATCTTGGGAAAAAAAAAATTCACTTTTACCTTTTCTTACCATAAGAAGTGCTTCTACAAGTGGGTCAGATTCTGATCTGAGTAAGCTCAGCATAGAACTGAAGCATTTGCATATATTTAATTCAGATGAAAATGAGTGATCAGGAATCTAACCTGGATGATACTATCAACAAGTAGTAACATCCATCCTTGATTCAGTGAGCTACTTAAGCATTCCTTAGCATTATGGACTTCAGTTAGTCATACAGTTTCCAGACTACTTGGCAGACTTGAAGTATGTCCTTAAGTGTCTGACTGAATCAAAGCCTGATAGTTCTGGTGTGGGTGATTGTGCTAGTTATTGAAGAATAACTAAAACAACGTACTCAGTCTGCAATATAGACAGACTGGACATGAAAATTTATAGTAGTAGCTGATAGCATGTGAGCTGACTATATCATCTCCCTAGATCTCTGTTCCTCCCCAAGGCCCAGCTAAAGCTCCCAGTGAAACCTGGCTTCAGGAATTGACTATGGGGATATACAGCCACCACTGTGGAGCTGAGGCTGTGCTTTGTGCTTTAAGTGTTTCATAACTTCATCATAGATTTGTGGGGTAACTAGTAACACTGGTGCAAAGAGAAAGCAACACCACTTTTCCAGTGGAGTGGCGTTACTTGGCATTTGGATTGGCATAACCAAGAAGCCAGTTTTGCCCTGAGAGTGTAGTTTTCACTAAGGGGTTTTGGCAAGTCAAAAAAACAAACAAAAAAAACCTGACACGGTTTGTAGTAGCAGTCTGCATTTTTGTAAATTCTGCCTTACAGAATTTATATCAAAACTGCTATTTAACAGTTTAGCAACATTGTTTAAGGAGAATACATTGAAGTGTGGGTTGGGGGTGGGGGAAAGAACAAAAATGGCCCATTTACAATGGCTGGAACTGGGGCAAAGGCTTCATTACATGACTTTTCACTGTTTATAGGATTTTCCTGCATCTCATTCTTCTAGCATGGTGATAACTGCTGTGTGTCTCCTTTAAAAGAATGGAGCCTCTGTCTGTAATTTTTCTGGAATGTTTACCTCACATTTCCATGTTGGTTCTTCTTGGCTTTTTTTGTATATTTTTTCCAAAACAGATGCAAAAAAAAATTAACAAAAAACCACAATGTGTAGCCTGGTCTCTGTCATTTGCCTGTGACACAAAGACAATCTGTGATGTCTGTATGTGTCTGGTCTTGCAGTGTTTCTTCCAGACTAGTATTTTCTTCTGTATCAGCTGATGACTGCTTTAGTCTTACGAATATAAGGATCAAACATGGGCCATGCAGGCTTTCTGTGGCCATAAGGAACCATCAGCCGTGTTCTGGGTCCCTCACTACAACTTTGGTCCAAATTCCACAGGGAAAATTTCTGCTGAGTAAATTTGGCTGTGGAACTGGCCCTTGTTCTGCTGTTAGGAGAATAATGTCACGTTAGGAAAGATTATCAGCAATGTATACTCCAGTTAATACACCCAGTCAGCAGCACATAAGTCCACTCATACTACAGAGAGTTAGTAGGGGTTTGAATGCAAAGATAAAAACTTTATATTCTGTATCCTAGCTTTTGCAGCTGTGGTCCCTGGGATTGTGTTCCTCCTAAGAGTGTTGCTACCACAGTGTAAATCTTGTGTTCTTGGTCCAAAGCTTCCAGAGAATGGGTATTGATGTTGTCCCCCTCTGCTTATCCTCTAGAATGATGCCATGGGCAGTCTTTCTGAAGGTGGAAGATGTGATTTTGAGTTTCTCCCCCATCCTCGAGATTGAAGAAGGATTTAAACCTCAGTTTTCTACTTCTTGAAAGACTGCTTTATTCTTCCCAATTATAGTCCAGCATGGTGAGAGGTACCTCTCTCCACTTTGAAGTAAGAAAGTGAGCCCTGCTCTCCTCTTTGACATGGGACTTAAAGATGCCTACACCCAGGAGAGATCTTCAGGTAGATGCAGATCCACATGGGTATACATGCTTGCTTCCAATGCCTTTTTAAAAATACTTCAATTCATTGCTCCCCAACAGCCTCTGAAGCAGGCAAGATGACACATATTTAGCTATTCATCACACTGTTTTTCCATAAACTACAGGGAAGGGATTTGTGAACAGCCAGCCTTCTACAGCAACCAGTGAAACATCCCATTTTCTCACGTTCACCCTGCAATGGAACATGTAGTAGTACACCTATGCTACTCTGTAACTCCCCACGCGTCAAAAGGAGAGGAGAATGGGTTTCTTAAATTTCTTCAAAGCTATAAGGAGAAAGCAGCACTTGAGAAGTTTGCTGAATAAAGAAACTGAGCACTCTAACACACAAAACAGCGGTTCCTAAGTGTACTTCAGGTATTTGTATGCTGAAACAAGCCAGGGAAGCTAGTGTTCCGGAGAGTGCGTGGTACAACCACAGTACTTCTGGATCATTTCCAGAAATACTACATATAATCTAACCTTCCTGTAAACAACTTGTTTTGTAGAAAACATTCACAAAGTACCACACATTTCTCAGACCATTGCATTTATTTTCTTGTCCTCCTAAGTTCACTGCTTGCCTCCTCTGATTAAAAGCAAACCTACATCATCAGTTACTTGGGAAGAAAAACATGTTTTTCCACAGCTACAGAAAAACTAATAGCTTTTCAAAGGAACAACAAAATATATGAAGATGGGTTCCTTCAACAGACATGGAAGAATGCTACAAGCTCCCTTGATGGCAGCTGTTTTTATAGGGCTGTTGGAGAGTTAATCATTGTTAAGTGAAGAGATTTCAGAATTCCACTTGGCACTATCTTCATGTAACAGTTTTGAGTAGAACAAGCAGTTTTATTTTAAGATGGCATCTGTGATGGTTCTTAAAAACGTTATTGCTGACAGAATCTTCTTTCCAATCTCAATGAAAAAAAGAAAAAAAAATGCTGGCTTACCTCCTCCCTCCTTCCCCAGAAGTTTGTTGGCCCTGCTAGTCTTGGTGTCCAAGTTGAACAGGGCTCTCTATCTACATAGCCAAACTTCACTTGCTACAGCTCAAAAGTGAAGACAAGAAGCTTACAAGGTGCAGGGAAGAAGCTGAGGAGTTAGTTCCCCGTCTGTCCCCACTGGTCCCTGTAACTGATGGGCACCACTGTAAAGGCCAGAAGGCGTACATTAGTACCATTGATGACCACAGCGTGTCACTGTTTCACAAGGAGGACTTCTGCTTTTTTTTTCCCAGTATATAATGAATAGAAACAATGAAATCTGAGGACAACTAGAAGAATTTTTATTAGTGATATTCCTATATTCAGTTGCTACCACAATGAAAGGGCTCTGCTTCTGCTCTGCAGTCTTGCCTTAGGAACACAAGCAAAGCAAAGCGATGCTTTCTGGTGTGACTCACTGCTCCCAGATAATCTTCAGGTTTGGGGGCAGCTTTGCAGCACACAGTTCATCAATCTTGGATGCATCCTTCACAGGAGTGCTATAGAAATTCAAGACATCCCCAGCATTGCACATCTGGTGGAGCTGTGAATTGGGGACAGCATGACCAAGTTCTGCTGCCAGCTGAGCCAGGAGGCGATACTTTAACCTGTTTTCTTTGAGGGGTGTCTGCTGCCAATTATCAGGAATCGAGGGTCCAAAAATCTCCTTGATGTGAGACTCAAGGTAGCTCTGTATATCTGCTGGAGGAAGATAGCTTCTGCTGCGTGGTGGAGGACAGATCAGGCTAGGTTCACTTTTCTCTTGTATTATTTTCTCTGCTTCTACTTCTTTTTCCTCCTTCCTGTTGACACCAAACACAAGTATTTTCAGTCCCTGCGCTACTTAAGACTGAGTTGCAGCACATTTCTATTCATAGTCTTTTAATACTGAACTCAGCCTAGCCTGTAGACAGTTTATGCATCCCATGGACACAGCAGGTTCGTTATGCATGCACAACCAAAGACACACAGGCTAAGCATTTGGTTTTGCCCCATACGGTGCTCACTACATAGGCTGCCTCTACACAGCAATCCCCCACCTAGCTTATTTTATTGGTCAGAATGGAATCAGAATTTTAACCAGATTAATGAGTTGTTTTCCCAGTTACAGGTCCATTTTCTAACCTGCTGTGAAAAAAGAAAGGCTAACAGAAAATAACATCTACTGTAGAAAAAATTAGTGCCCGCAGATACAAAAAAAATATGATCACTAGTTTTAACTAGAAAATTGAAGCCTACCTCAGGTTATTTGACTTGCTCACATGCCACAATCTAGTCAACCACACAAGCATGGTTCACCTAAAAAGCTATACAGAAACGATGACTTCTCGTTTCCATTGTAGTACAGCCCTGAAACATCTCCTTTTCCACGCCTAACAAGATCGCGCACTGCAAGAGCCAAGAGCATTAAGAAACCCGACTCCGGCCTGCTGGCAGGGACACGAGGAGGGCCCCGAGGCCTGCGACCCAGCCCGCTCCTGTGCGCGAAAACCGAGGCCTGAGGACGGTAGGTCTGTAAACGACCAGCGTCTCTCCCGGGCGCGGCGCAGCACCGTCCCCAGCCGGGGCCACGGAGAGACCGCGCTGGCCTGCCTCGTCCCGCTCCGCCCCGCCCGGCCCGGCCGCAGGCCCAGCACGGGGAGGTGGCGGGGAGAGGGGTCGGAAGCCGCCAGCGCCTGCCTGCCCGCCCCCAGGAGCCGCCCCGCCGAGCGCCCCGCCGCTACCTCGGGCCGCCCCAAAGCCCTCTCCGCGCCAGAGCGCCGAGGCCCAGCCGCCGCGCCGCCATCGTTAGGGGACGCCGAGCCTCTTCTTCCCGGCAGCCAGCGGGGCAGGCGACGCGCGTCCGCCGCACTGCCTCACGGGAACTGTAGTCCCGTCCCCCCCCGGCGCGGGTTTGGGCACGGGGTGCGTGGGACTCAGAGAGCAGGAGATAGCGACATATATCGTCGCCCGCTGCCGCCTTAGCGATCGCTGGGTAATTTTGCCAGTCAAAGACGTTTAGCAGCTGCCTCAGGAGGTTTTCATCCCGGCTTTGGGGTGCGATGGTTGCGGCGCTGTCAGCCAGCGCGTTTTCACAAGGAGCTTGTTCTGCAGGCCACATTTCTGATCTGGGTACGCAACTGTATGAGAGTATCACTCTTCCTGTTTTTTAAAAGTACCTTCATCTTTAAAAGCAAGAAATAATGCTTCGTCTGCACACAGCCTTGCTTCGGTTCCTGGTAGCACCTTTAGCAGATGTCCGTTTGCACCAGTCGCAAACATCTCCATCAAAGAAAAACGCGAGGACCCTGGGCGCAGCTGCCAGCGGCATCAGGGCACTGCTTGTGTGACAGATGCCCATCAAACAAGCAGGAAAGCTACACAAAGATACGGATTTCATTTTATAAAGTGGGAGAGGGTTTCTTATGCCAGTGTGGGGGAACATTTTTTCAACTCTCAAGAGAATCAGGCTACACAGATCAGAAGATCAGTAGGATGCTTCTCATCAGGAGCAGAGGTTTATTTGAACTCAGGTGCATGGAGACCTATAGGACCACAACTGAACGAGAAAAGAGGTGTTGTTCCTGACACTGGTGTCAGCCTCTGGAGTGTTTTTTGGCAAATCACTTGCTCTTCTTTTGTGGTTAGGATAGACTAAATGCATGTATTAATTATGCAGTGGTTGGATCTGTGTGAAGAAGTTTGGCCTCTGTGAAAGAGTGGTTACTAATGCAAAGAACACGAGGTTACAGGGCAGTGATTTTGCCTGTTTTCCCTCTCCTTGCTGGCCGGAGCAGTGCGTGCCTGTAGCTGGATCAGCCTGCAGAGCAAGGTGGCTCTGGCTGCGCAGGCTTGGTCCCAGGTGGCCCTGACAGGAAAGGGGGGGTATTGTCTGGGTTGTGTGGTCTTTGCTGGTTGGTGGGCTGCTCCAAGGTGTTGCTAGTTGATTGGTGCCATGTGTTGCTGGGCAAATATGTCTATATTATTATATATTCTTCTTTAACCTTAGGTCTGCTACTTCTGACATCTTTTTTTTTTTTTTCATAACCAGTGTCTAATTATGCTTTGGCCAACAAAGCTTACATTTCTAACAAGTACATAGCAACATAGCAAAGGTCAAACTGTGGGCCTTCAGCCTCAGCCTAATTATTCAAGCTATGCCAGCAGGATAGGTCAAGATGCCTCCCAACATGTTTTGTGTTAATTATTGTGGGAAATTACACTGCAAAAGCACTTTGGAAAAATAATCTCTGTACAGTGCTTACTCAGCCTGTGCAACCCTAACTCAGCCTCATCACAATAACCATGATTCTCCAGAGACAGGACAAGCTTCTGAAGGTATTGTTATTTATCTGTGTTTTGAGTCCTGTGTACTGCTTGCTATATACATATCTCAATTTTTCTCAGTATCTGTCAGACTTCAGTCAGCAGGATTAACCTCTCCAGCTGTATCGCTATTGGATTATTTCCCTTTGATCTCCTTGGGGTTTCCCAAGCTCACCAGTTGTAACACTTTGTGGCTTAATCTTTGCATAGGCTCCTGAAAATCATGGATGTGTGAAAGAGACTGTAAAGTTTATACAGAATAAAAAACTGTGAGATAGAGATTAGTTTTCAATTACTGTTTTATTCCTATGATTGAAGACACAGTCAGGTTTTGTAATTCAGGATTTTGGCTGCAAAATGTGGTAATGGGCAAGGGTATGTATTTGAATTGCTAAAGAACTACTTAATCTTCCTACTATTCTGGGGGCTACGTTTAAACCAGAAGAAGACTGGGTTTATGATTCATTGGCAGCTGTTGTTTGTTGTATGAAAATAACTCCCCTTCCTTGGAATGGGCAGATGAAATGAGAATATCCCCATGGTAAACTGTAGGAGTGAAGGGTGGAGAGGAAGCTAATCCATTTTATCTCCAGTTTTGTTTAGGGTAAGGGAAATTAGATTTCTTTGTTTTTCTTTAATTTCTGAATATCTTCCACCTTGTGAAAAGGCACAGGACGAAGGAAGGTTCCTGTGCTTTCAGTAGGTGTAGCTGGCAGTGAAAAGTGACTGCATGGCAGCTGTGTCAGTCTTCCCAGACATGACATACTGTCCTCTGCAAGCCAAACTGTTAATCTGAAAAAGAAAGAAGAAGAAGGGGAAACCAGTTAGCTTGGACAGCAGGAGTAACCAAACAAGGCAAAAATAACAGAATAACATCCCTGGTCAACATGGAGCACCGGGAGGGGCAGTGACAATAGAAGCCTTAGGAAAGTGACAACATGTCTTCCTTCATGGTGAGCAGCAGCTCTCTGCAATGGGAGGAAGCCTCATACCTGTGCCCGCTTGCGGAAAGCCTCCTGTGCTGCCTTCTTGTTCTCGCTTTTGCCCACCCACGCTGCCAGGGCAGAGGCTTGCAGGGCTCTCCCGTATGAAAAGGTCAGTTTCCAAGGCTTAGGCAGAGGGGACTGGTTCATGGCGTTCAGGTTGACAGAAGCCTCCTCTTCACTCTGACCTCCAGACAGGAAGCAGATTCCTGCAAGAAATAGGGTTTGAGGCTTAGAAAAGGAGTGTTCCAGCCACCACAATCCCTGACCTTTATATGCCAGAGGAGTAAGAATGTCAGATGTAGGAGCAAAGCCAGCACGAGTGACAGTGTGAATGGATGCACAGGAATGAATCAGCAATCACCAGGAACGGCAGCAGGAACGGTGCGGAGAAGAGTAGTGACAGTTGCCACGGCTACATCCTGAGGGGTGTACTTCTTGGGGCAGGAATGTCCAGCCGTCACCATGTTGGGTTTCAGCAATGTCCCTTCCAGGTACACATGATGATCATTCAAGGCCTTGTAGACGGCAGCCAGAACCTGGAAACAAGAGGGTTGAATACAGACCTATGCTCAGTTCTTCACCCCAACCTGCTGTGGAAAGACAGCTTGTTTCTTGGGAGCATGAGAAGATCAAATTGAACTTGGGTTTCTTGGTACAGTTACCACAGGGGTTGCAGCCTCAGAGACAAAATTGCTTTTGAGATGACCGGGATACCATTCTCCACATTCACTAGATTTGTCCCTGCAAACTGAGCTACTAAAAGAGGGGTAACTGGTTTTGCTCCCAGTGCATCTTTTTGAGATTGAGAATGCTTATATTGGCAGTTTGAGTGGAAATCCAAAAGCATGGATTCTACTCTCACGTTCACTATTAACTTGTTACTTGACAGTGAGCAACTCATTTTAATGATGCAGTTATGAAGTACCTTTTTGGTCAAAACTCTTTGAGATCTGTGAATGCACTCTGCATAAGTTTAGCTACTGATTTGTGAAGGGGACGAGAGGTCAGAAATCTCTTACCTTTTCTGTGACATACTGACAGCGCTGGAGGTCGTGGTCTCCATCAGGCAAGATTTCTGGCTCCACAATGGGCACCAAGCCATGCTAAGAAAAGAGAAATGGAATTCTGTGGGGTGTGGAAGCAAAACTATCCTTGTTGTCTATGCTGACTTTGGTGGTATTCCTTCTTGCTGCACTGCTCTTCTTCCTTATCTTCCTCAAAACCCTCTTGGAGATCTGCCTTTCGAGATACCTAGCATGTTATTGCAGGGAACAGTGTGAAGGGGCAACAGCATCTCAGAAAAGGTTGCTGGAGCGTAGATACCTGCTGGCAGATGCTGGCATAGCGTGCCAATGTGTTGGCATTCTCTTGGATGGCGAGTTGAGAGGGTGTTGTGCTGGTGATCTTCAGCACTGCACGCCACTTGCCAAAGTCAGCACCATCCTTCTTGTACTGAGCACAGCGCTCAGCCAGTCCATCCAGCCCTGCGGATGAAAGAACAGTGCTTCACTGGGAGCAGTTCTTCAGGATGTAGCTCTGAAAAGCGCCATGACACCAGTCAAGGCTGCGACTCAGGTGAGTCACTCCATGGCTTTTGCTGCACCAGTCATAGTTTAGGCTCCTTAGATCTCTCCTTACCTTGGATGGTGGTTTCTCCATTTGTTCCTGCTAGGGGTGCTGTGCCTTTATCCAGCTGTGGAGACCAGGAAAACAGGAAGGGTTACAGAGAGATGGAGACCGGTCTCATCCTTATTTTCCTACCCATGGCTAGTCTGTCTTTGCAGACTGACTGTGAGTAGAGTATGGAGCTGAACATGATAAGGGTGCAAAGGAGGGAAATGTGGGTGCAAAGGAGGGAAATGGTGCAAAGGCGAAGAAGAGGAGTGAACTGGGTAAGAGGAAGGGGCAATGTGTAGATGGTTGCAGGGAATGGCACGAGAACTCTGTCAGATGCGGAAAGGACTGGATTTTGGTTGCTGCAAGGTTGGATTTCATTTCAGTGAATGGTGAGTAGATGGGAGTTGGTGGATGAAAAGTCCTGTAACAAATGCAAATGTGGCCCTGGTTAGTTATACAAAAGCAGTGCAGAGAATGGTGGCAGAAATCCTCTAGTGATTTTAACACCGAGCAGAAAAAAGCAAAAGGAGTGTTTGGCAGGAGAGAGTGCAGCCCCATATATAATTTTTACTGGAAATGGGGTTTGAATTATGCTGCCAGCCAGACGTGTAGATACTTACCTTTATTCCCACCACAATGCCTTTTTCTTTGATGAGAGCTGGAAATGGCTTTCCACTGCTGTCTTTCTGATAGAGAGTCTCATGGAAGAGGATCACTCCCCCAATGCTCTGGTTGATGGAAGCATCTGAAGAGAAGAGGATCTCTCGAAAAGCCCGGCGATTCTCCTCTGTGTTCTCCACATTGATCCTCTGCAGCCTATTCCCCATGGTACCTAGCAGGATGGACACAGGTCAGACAGAGAGGTGTTAGGCTTGGCTGGCCTCCTGGTCCCAGCATGTAGTAATGAACTGGGGCATCAGTTCAGAGCTTCTCTTCTCAACCCATAGTTTCTCAGCTTTTGTTGCTGTAGATAAAATCCCAACTGTCTGAGTTACTCCTGATCAGTGAATGGTTTTAAGTGTTTTTAATTTATTCCACTGATTTCAAAGATGAAGCAAACTTAAGAAGTCTTGGGTACTGCTAATTGATTGATATCCAAAACTCACCCACTGATTCATCTGCAGCTAAGATCCCCTTTCCTGAAGCCACAATCCGCTGAGCAATGTCTGAAAGAGCTTTCTTCTGCTCTGGAGACAGCGCTGGGAATTGGTGGGTCATGTTGACTTATCTGTGGAAGAGAATTACTGTTACAAGCTGGGGGAGGCTGTATACACAAACTGGGAACCAGAGAATCCACTGGAGTATTTCTGTTGGAGGGCTCTTGGTGCCTGTTTGGTGCATGTTACTGTAGGCATGTGCCCAGAAATCCATTTGAGTTCTTCTGGGCTTGTTGTGCCTGGCAAAATCAGAAGAGGGAAATACAGGAGCCACGTTCTAACACATGCTTCCAAACCAATGTGGGAAAGATTCTGCATTTTACAAGTATTTGCTCAGGAGGTCAGTCCATCATAAAAACATGCACTAAGCAAACAAGTACGCTCATTGTTGACTCTGCAGTCTTTTTGCTCCCAATGAGAAGTATGCCAATTATCACATTGTTTACCTTTACACATTTCCTAACAATGCTCCTCTCCCATTCCCTGCTCTACGTTGGCAGTTATTTGCTACTTTGTCTAGCTGACTTTCCATCCCCGTCCTCCTGCGTTGCTTTGTAATTATCTCCTCCCCATGGCCGCTTTCACAGATGCAGCACGTTGCTTACTGTATCTAAGACCTGGGGGTTTAGAAGGATTCACCACCCATTTCTGCCTTTTCATGTGTGGCAGAGGCTTGCCAGCTGTGATACCCAGCACCTGAAATCCAGGTTCTGTCTTGTTATGACAAAATGCTTGATCTTATTAAAGTTTTGATTATATGACATTAAATTACAGTTTCTCAGATCATCTGAATAGTCCAAGTTACTTCCTTGTGTGTATAAGCCTGTGAGCCTGAAACATAAAGACTCTCTTCTTTCTGTTTGTCATACGCTATAGCTAAAGCAACACCCAGTGTTTTATCAGCAGGTGGTAAATCCATGACATGAATCATTAACAACAACACAAAAGATCTCCAATATCCATTTTCTTCCTGAGGGGCAGGCCTCTGGGCAGCTTCTGCATTTTCTATTCCAAAACTCAGCCTTTGAGAGGAGTGAGAACATGCCATTTCCCATTTCACCATATGCCAGAGATGGCCAGCAAATATGTCTCCCCATATAAGCATGTACACAGCCAAGTCCTCCATCCTCTTTCCTAGCACACAGATATTATGTTGCCAGGGAGTCCTTGTTTTGCCTTGCCTGCTGCAGGGCATAGTGGAGAGAAACTATTGGGGGGTCTTGGCTGCTGTTCATGATTGGGTAAGAGAGTTCTGTGCACTATGCAAAATTGTGCCAAATTTTTCTGGCAACAATGCCGTAACAGTACTGTTAACAGCTATAAATCCATGTCCCTGATTTATAGTTGAAGGTACTTTGGTATTGGTAATGTTATTGTGTAAGATTCGAATGGTGTTGTCTACCAGTACAGACCAGTCAGATGCAGTGTCCAGATGTCTGCTTTACCTTTTTGTGAGTTGTTTGAGACTAGAATTCATCCCACGCAAACTTATCAACTGTGATTCGTTCTAGGTTTAGAGGGAATTTGAAGGAGTGTGTGATGAAGGCTGCATCAAATGAGTGAAGGTTCCCTCCTTTTCCAAGAGCTGAAATGCCTTGCTGTGGTCCTGCAAAGGTAGGCTTTGCTGGATCCATCACTCCCAGCTCTTATCCTGTGCAGCCCACCTAAAAGAACTTGAAGAGCTGTTGTTTATGCTGCACAACTGTTTTGGTTCACCTGTAACCCTCCTTATCCCTCACCTGCTTTCTGTGTCTGGTATATTTCTTAGAAATAGGAAACTGGCTTGTTATTATGATTACTGTAATTATAGTTTGTGTTACAATCACTTCAGTCAAAACCGTGGCACTGTTAAAATAATTGCTATGCAAAATTATGAGGAATCATTCCAGTAGTTCACAGTCTTTGTGGAAAAGACTGGAAGATTGTGATCTGGCAAGAATACAATCTTGTCCAAGGTCAAAGCTAATGAATTGCTAAATCAGTAACAGGATTTCAGAGTTGCAGTTTGGAGGTATGCTACAGCACAAGTAGATGTATCCAGATAATCTTTAATCCAGCTAGCTGGATTACAAGAACATCAGTCACTCTAGTTATGTTCTTTTGGGTATACTTTATCTCCAGCAATGCAATAGGCCATGAGACTAATGCCTATTGTATCTTACTTGTTTCCAGTGTTTGCATAAAGATAACAAAGAGACAGTTATCACTCAAAACCAGCCTGCAAAGCCAATTGCCAAAATATGGAAATATGAGTTTTCAGTGGATAATGCTGGTCCAAATGAGTACTCTGAGAGACTGAAACAATACAGTCTCAAACAATACATAGTTCCACAATGATGAATTGAAAGACAGAAGATTAGTTCCAGTTTTCATGCAAGTATCTCATTGAGTGTGAAGGGGCAAGTGGGGATTTGCCAAAATGCTCCCCAAAATGATCTGTAAGGCCATGGTGAGTTGTTCCCAGCTACTCTGCTGAGCTACAAATAAAATGCACAGTGTTTCAAGCTGAAATGGTGAAAACATGAGTGGAAAAGAACAGTTGTAAAGCTAATGGTAGCTCTAAGGTCCAGAATGTTCAAGTACCCTTGATTTAGGACTTTATTTTTCTATGATTCTTTCATGATGAGTATAATCTCTGAGGATCTTCCCCACTGAATTCAGAAAGGGTGTCTCTGCTGTAAGGTACTGCTCTGAGCATTTAAAGGGGATTGGAGAACTCTTACACTTCAGTAACGCTTCATACAACTGCCTTGTAAAGAGTAAGCTCTCAGCACATTCACAGAAACATTAATGTCCCCCCTTAAAGAGCTGGATATGTCACCTTACAGGTCCTGAGGAATATGGTTGTGCCCAGATAGCCAAAGCTGGGCAACTCATTTAATTCTTCCAAGAACGAAGCCTATTTGCCTTATTATTCTGCTTTATTTGACAACTTTTACAGGCAGGAAGAAGCTCGAAAGAACTGTTTTCTCCTTAACAGTATCTGTGAGTTGTGCCACCACTGAAGTTTTTAAAGAGATTTTATTTTTATTTACCCATTTTAGGCTGTGGGCTAGTATCATAGTGTCACAAGCTCAAGTAATTTCACATTGATTTGACATTGTATGAATACAATGTATTCTCTTCGTTGTAACTGCTTACATAACATTTTTTAAAAGTGGAAGAAAAAAACAAAAGAATAAAACTGCATAGAATGCATAAAATCCCCAGCTTTATGGCTACCTTGAGTGTTTGTCAGGCTTCAGCAGCTCCTTAAGCAAACAAAGTTCTTTGTTCAGCCGAGCCTGTGACCAGCAGGAGGTGGGGGGAAAGGGGACAGCATGGTTGTAAAAGTAAATATTGTAATGCTGAAGTCTCAAGTTTTTCTCAGCTACCATAATGGAGGACTGCAGGGGAAATATCTTCATGTATATCAGCACAAGCACTGCATCCTGTTAATATTAATAGTGAGAACCAAAGGGCAGAGGCAAAATGAACAGCAGGAGGAACAAACTGTTAGATTCAACTTCAGGTCATTTTAGAAACATTAATATTTCACTGGCATCTTTTCTTCCCAACCACCTCAAGTGACTGGCATCTTCTAATCTTACAGAAAATCTCACCTGAGTCCTGGTTTGCAGACGGGAAAAAATCAGATTAGAATCTGTAAGTTTTTCTCTTGTGTCTCTTCATTGCCTTCTTTTATTAAATTGGTTCCAAAAGTTCAGGATCAAGTTCGCAAAATACGGTTTGTATCCCATACATGTAGCTTTTCCTGTTCAATGCTAGTAAACACAGACCTTCAACATCATCTCTGACAGTTAGCAATACAAACTACATGTGCATGTCATTGCACTCTGCACACAAGAGATTCTGCTTTTGAAGAGCAGGGTTTGAAGAAGCAAAAGTTGCATGTATAAATAGATGAATACAGTTGATGAGGAAGATTAAAAGTATTCAAAAATCACATGCACAGTGTTGACTGGATTTCCATTTATACTTGTATGCTTAAGAGAGACACACACATAATGAGTTATGAACCTTATATTCTCATTGGAGTGGATGAATCTAGTTATTGCCCTCACTTCTCTATAGAGCTCCATTAAAAAACTATTTCTAAGTAAGTCTGGTTACTTCGACATTGGACAAACTGATAGGTTTGAACACCTTGGCAAGCCTGGCCCCATCCTGCTGACAGAGCACATTCTTACTTAGTCTGCAGATGACACCAAGCTGGCAGGACTGGTTGATACGCTGGATTGCTGGGCATCCATCCAGAGGAGCTTGGATTGGGGGCAGGAAGATGACAACAGGAGCACTATGAAGTTCAGCCAGGACAAATGCCTAGCCATTGCCTGGAGCTCAGAGCCTTGGCAGTGGTTCCACCTAGGCTAGTGGGATGGGGGAAGAGGTCTCTGGAGAAGGCCCTGTACAGGCAGCGAGCTGAACAGGGGCCAGTGATGAGGGCCAGCAGCATCCTGTGTGAGCAAGGGTCTGGCCCAGAGAGCCAGGGGAGGACAGGGACTATCACCCTCTGCTTAGCACTCTTTAGATCACACCTGGGTACTGCATCCAGTGTCGGGTTCCTTCAGTACAGGAAAGACATTGAGAAATGAGTGAGTTCAGCAGATGCCACTGAGAAGGCCAGGGGCTGAAGCACTTGCTCTGCGAGGATAAGGCTGCAGAGCTGGGTCTAGTTCAGCCTCAAGCAGAGGTGGCTTTGGGGGCATCTCTCAGCAACCCTCAATACCTACAGAGAAGTGATCAAAGAGGTAGAGCCAGGCTCTTCACAGTATCATGTGATGCAAGAGTAAGAGACAACAGGTATAAGCTGAACTTGGAGAGATTCGGACTGGATGTGAACAATTTTTCTTCACTATTGGGACAGCTAAGCAGTGGAGTAGGTTGACAGGCTGTGGTGTCTCCATCCTTGGATGTTGTCAAGACCCACCTGAATAAAGCTGTGAGAGGCCTGGTCTGACCTTGTGTCTAACCCTGCTTTGAGCAGGAGGTTGAACTACAGACCTCCTAATGTCCCCTTCAGCCTGAATTACCCCTTGACCTTGTGTGAGTACTTGCTATAGGGAGCTGAAGTGGCAGCGGTGCCTCCTGTAGCTATGAAGGAGTTCTGAGGGAAGAACAAGGTATTTCTCCCTTCATCTTTGCCACGGGAGTGAAGATTTTAGTATAGCAAAATGTTTCGTTTCCAGATTCTAAAAAGTATCAAGGGTGTGAGACAAAAATATATTCAGACAGAAGCAGCAGATGTTTTTGAGTGACAGCAATTTCACCATCTTGATAGATCCTTTGGGGCATATATGATGGTAAATTGCCTGGTTGGTTTTTGCTCTCTCTTATGAAGGTGGGAACAGTGTTTTTTTCCATCTTCATCCTCTGTCTAGGGACCTTGCTTCAACAACCTATCTCAAATGGATGACATTATGTGAGACCTGCAGTTTCCTGTCCTGACTCCCACATTAGACTCAGAGCTATACTCAAGCCCTGACCAAATGTACCCCCAGTTCATCTCTCTAGCAAGTATGAAGGGAAGTTATGTACTCTGTGACCTGGCCTCTGCAGTCAGTGTAGAGCACTTGTGGAGCACTCACAATGGCTAGAGGTGGCTGAGGTGACAAGAAGCAGGTTTCCTGGAAATAAGAGTGGTCATTAGGGTGAAGTCGCTTCTCTCTCAGGGCTGGGCTCTTCTCAGCGAAGGTAAGAAAATGCTGTCAGACTTGCGTGAGAATTCAAGACTTGTAATGCCAGCAGGGGAGGCTGGGGGAAGTTGTGGTGAGCTAAATAGTGTTGGGTGCCAGGCACATAGTATAGTTGAGAAAGTGACAGAGGATCACAGACTCAGGATTTGAGTTTGTTGAGCAATTTTCTGAAGCTGGCAGTTCACAGTTTGAATGGATACAGCCTAATGCAAGAGCAGTTTTTAGTTTCCTGCACTGCAGACTGCTTTACATCCCACTGCCAAAGAATCTTATCCACACTACTGCACTAATACTTCAGAAGAAGCTGCACATTGAACACACATAATTACACTTCTGTCAGCACTGGTGTTTGTCAGGACCAGCTGCATTCCCCAGTCATTCTCTCTTCTCCTTGCAAAACATAAATTTATATACTCCACAAACATAAATAGACACATACAAAACAAAGCAGTAGAAAGCAATGAAGGTATGTTATTGCTTTAGTCCCTTTAGACTAAGGATTCACTTACTCCAGGAGTTCTGAGTGACTAAGCTAAGTTAGAAAGCCAGTGTTAGCAGCAAATGGGTCACACTGGAAGATCACTGCAGAATGGCTGAATGCTTATTTCTTGCAAGCTGTTCCTGGAACAAAAAAATAAAACCAAAAACAACACCCCAAGCCCGCTTTAGATAAACACATTGTGTCTCAGCTGCTGATATACGTACCACCTCTACTGTTTAGAAATGAAATTATTATACTTACTTGTGTGGTGGTAGTGCCTCTGCTGCTACAAGCTTCTGGTGAGGTGGTTGCAGCTGAAGAGACCTAGTCCTTCTAATCGCTAACTTTTATAATATTCTTGACAGTGTTGGTTTTTTTTTGGAGGTTTTTTTTTTTTTTTTTTTTTTCTCCCTTCACTCCTTCATTCTCCCTCCTCCCCAGGCTGGTTGGGGAGATGTCATTGTTCAAGGTCGGTCATTGGCTGTCAGACCACAACCATGCATAACCAATGGGACCTAGTCTCGCTCCTGGTGTTCCTCCCCTTCCCCCTCCCCTGTGTATATAAGGCCATTCAGGATGTGGTGAAATTGAGCTGTTTTCTAGTTATTTCAAATTATACCTTCACTTTCTAAAACAGACTGAAAAGAAATGAAAGAGGAACAATGGAAATTGTTTACAGGGATCTTGGGCATAACTTTCTGTTTAGGGTTAGATCTTCAGGAAGCTTGTACTTAGGAAACTACACAGTTCAGGGAAGAAGAGTAGAAAACAAAATGCAGAAACAATGCAATGGATCCTTATTTTGCATGACTACTATCATTTCAGTGGCTTCCTAAGTGTTCCACCTATCTTCCTCACTTGAAAATACGGCACAGAAACTTATTTTCCTTTTGCTGTTAGTATATGGAAAGGCAAAATCTGACGCTTATAGTCTCAGGGTTAATGAAACTGCAAGTTCTGCTTTCCTTTAATGAGGTCTATCTGTGAGAATGATGGTTATCACAAGCAATATACCCAGATGGAGATGCACAAGTACAAAACAAATTTTCCACCAAAATCCCATCGAAACACCTACCCACCCATATTACAGTGACATACAAACTTCTCAGTTGCTTAGCAAAATTTTTGTGTGAAAAATGCTAATGCTCTATAAAAGGTATGTCAGCATTCCATCTTATATGAAATCACAGGTACTCACCAAATCTGGGTAGATAGACTTGATTTCCCCCCAGTTCCCTCACCCCCACCCTCCCCCCTGCCCCATACTGCAGGTCAGTACTCCAGGAGGGAAGCACAGCACAGGGACTGTTAGGCAAACATCATACCCTCATCAACAACACACTCTCTGACCTTGGACATTAGCATGTCTTTACCACGAAGACCCAGTGTTTGCCTGAAGAATGACGTGGTTTCTCCATTTGTTTGGCTCACGCAGTGACACCTTTAGCCTTTACATGGACACAGAGAGGCATGTAATTTCTTCTCTCACTGAGCAACGCTGTCTTCATTAGGGCACTTCTTCCTTGAGCCTGTCTCTTCTAGAGCTGCATGCCAAATTCAGTGCCTGGAGGAAATCATAACAGCTTACATGCTGCCAGCAGTAGTACTCTGTGACAGCAGAGAAACCTCTGAAAAAACTGAGGATACAGTCCAGTTGAAGACCTTGTGCTTGTGTTACTTTGTTTTCTTTAATGTTCTTCTTGATCTATACATTTTTGCTGAAGAATGCTGTGGCACATAAAATTGACATAAAGCCTTCACTGCTTTACAGTATTTGCTTTATATTACATTTCTCCCACCCTAACAGAAATATGAACTCCATGGTATATTAAAGTTTCTCTACCACAGAGGCATCTTGTATGTATTAAAAATATTTTTAATTAAATACATTATCTAAAACATGCTTGAGACCAAGAAGGTGTCATACTGATGGTCTTCTTCAGGACCACAGAGAAAATCAGAGTTTCAGTCCCATCATTCATGGTTTGGTTAGAAGCTGTCACAGGTAGGAAAGTACTTGGAAGTGTTATTTTTCCAGTGTCATCTGTGGTATCGTCTGACAGGCTATTAGAGAAAATAGAAGAGTCTTTTTGAAAAAAATAGTGTCTGACATTTAGAAACCACTTTAGATAATCCCCTGCAGCCCTCCTTGTGTTCTTAACTGTTTTGTAAATATGTATATGTATTTCCAGGTGGGTATTGGCTAGTATGTGCCTTTCTAGTCCTTCTGAGCCAATATCCAGCACTTCAAGCACTAGGATTACAGGTCCTAGCAGAGATTCAGAGGACTGAGGAGAAAAAAAAGTGAATGGACATGATGGTTAACTTTTTCACTTAATTTAGGAATGGGAGCTTTTTCAGGCAAGAATATGGAATGAGTAATCATGCTAGATAATATCACTGTAAGGTTCAGTACTGTTATCATGCAGACGCATGACTCTGACCATGTTGTGCAGAAATTAGTAGCAGATATTAAAATGACATTGGAAAATAGTACATACTTTCATCATCACCGCTACATAATCATAGTGGCAGGATACTTATACCTCTAAAACGTAGGTGACAATGGTATCATATCCTGAAGTGATGGTAAGTTTGCATCATGAAGAGAATGCAGTGTATTTGCTTTTAACAAAGCAACTAACCTGTCCCATAAAAAATATCAAATCACTGACTGCACTAATTATTCTATGGCAAAAGTCGTGTATTTTCCAAGTTGTAAACCTATCTGATTGAGTTAGTGTTTGAACTCATAGTATTGCCAACTCTCTCAGATTTCCAGTGACCCAACTCATTTTGGAATGGTTTATTTTTCTGTTTAAGCCTTTTTTGAAGTAACATGATGCTTGCCATAGGCCTGTAGCTAGCAAGAGGCTGTCTGACGGTGCGAGCACCCTTGGTAGACATGGCTACATCTAGACATTACTTTGACAGAGATTGAATTTGTGGCCATGGACAGCATGACTTTGATGCAGGCGTTGCAGTACAGAAAGACTGGGACACCTTTGGTGGACAGCGAGTGGGACACCGAAGCCCTGGTGAAATGTGTGTTCAGAGGAACAATGCTGGTCAAGAACCAGATTTGGGGGCTTCAGGAGAACAGGAGGCAAAAAGAGGCAGAGATCATGCAGGTGAATGTTAAAGGGTACAGGTAACAAATTTGTGAGAAAGTGACTTGGTAATGGTGTGAAACACATACCCTTTTGTAGCATCCACTGTCGTCTGTGTTGCCACCCATCTCAGTGGTATGTGGGGTTTGTCTTCTGCAGTTTGTAGGGCTGGCTGTGTAGGCATGGTTTCCTGAGGGAGTTCAGGTCCCAAGGAAGCACCAGCTCTTCTCTTCCTCCCTGGGGTTCTTTATCCCTCTCTGCCACTAGCATGGGAAGGGGGAATTACTGCAAAGATCTCAGGCTGAGGGTAAGGAGAGGGAGAATGGGAAGGGAGGGCAGCTGAGCTAAAGAACACGTACTCTCAGTTAGTGGTATTCTTAAAAATAATTTTACAGATCATTGCAGTGATTGCTGATCCACTTTTCTAGTGAAGATAAAAAATATTTTAATAGAGCAAGAATTACTAACTTTTTTGAGAGTTTTGGATATGTATTGATTACTTAAATACATATGTAATTAGATATGGTGACTGAAGTTTTTCTGCATGGATTACAGCTTTTTTATCTGTTAATGAGAAAGCTGATATAAACAGTCTTGCATACAGCTCACAAATCTGTGTTTGAAACATCACAGCAGACAAGATGCATAACTAGTAAGAGAGCTTGAATGTTCATTGTTGTGCCTTTCATAGCATGGAAACAGAAAATGGTGGTCAGCTATAAAAGAGATGGATAATGTTAAAACACAAGCACCTACCATTTGCTCTCACAAATGTGGCACAGTATAAGTGAATTTTGTATTTGAGTGTGTTGGAGATTTTGTTGATGTTGACTTTTCCATCTGAAATTACCATACAAAATTTAACAGAAGTATACATTTAAAAATTTTAAAGACCACTAAAAACTGTCTTTACAGGTGGCTTGGGTTGTTATTTAGGTCTTAATTTGTGGTTTTCTTTCTTGAGTTTCACAATGCAAGTACTAGATTTTCATAGTAGTTAATTTAAGTGCTGTCATTATATCCAACCTTGATGTCAAAGGACCTGTCAGTTCTCTGCTGAAGTTTTGAGTGAAGACTGTTGCTGGATCAATGACATTAAAATCAATGGAAAGCCTTGTTTAAAGGCAACGGGTAAAAATTTTAGAATTCCTTATGTTTCTTTAGGTTGATGATTGTGTTTTTTCTGTGTGTTTCTAGCAGTATCATTTCAATACTGATTTTGCCTTTAATTATTCATATTAACTAGTGTTTTAAATTAAAATAAGTAAATGTGAAGAGAGACAAACTGTAGTACATCTGAGAAAGAAAGGTGAAAATGAAAGAAATGGATGAAGCAATTTCAGAGATTACATGGTCACCAAGAGAAACATTTAAAAGTTAAAACTTCCCTCTGCACTTCAGTAAATGAAGTATTATTAATCTTATCGACACTTTTGTATGTGGTCAGGCCTGTAAAAGGGTTTGAAGTGGAATGGAAAAAAAACACTGGAAGTTGGAAGAATGTCTAATATGTATCCACATGAAAAACACCTGGCTTTGTGTGCCCCAAGGGAGTGCTGCCTGCGTGATGGGGTTAAAGTCTAATCAGAGCAGACCTGAGTGGAGTCTGCCTCCTCCTCACCTCTCCACACCGTACTGGATGTTTTCTGTTTTCTGTACTCTGCAGTCTTGCTTAACTGTCTCAAAGTCCAGCTTGTTCATCCCTATCTAATCAGAGGTATTATTTATTAAGTGATTTGTTTTCCCCATTCACCTACAGCCCTCACCCCCAATGCAGAGAGCTTGGCTTTTAACCCCACAGAAAGAAATCACCTGTATTTCTGGCTCCGCAGCGGTGTCTGCAGACACATACATCATTGAGGGTATGGAGGGTGTTGGGCAGAAGAGACGTGGGCCCACATAGAGCACTGAGGGAAATGCACAGGGAGGGCTTGCTTGCTCTTCGTTCTTTGTGTCTTAAAGCTGGGCTGCAACAAACACCATGACTTGGAATGAAAAACAGGCAAGCATGTAGCATTATTATTATCAAAACCCAAATCTTCGTAATAATTTCTGTAGTGGGGATAGCAAACAAGGATACAACTTTAAATCAGACTGCCAGTGGCAACATTTCTGGACTTTGCAAAATAGCTGTAACAGGACATGAAGATAAATGCAGCAATGACACTGGTCTCTGTGCCTTTCTGTTGACATTCTGTTTTTAAAAAAGCAAATAGGCAAACAAACAAATGGCAGCTATAATGAGAGATAGTTAACTGTTTATTACCTGTTTATCTAAACAGCACATAGTCCCCCCAGAAAGCACACTTAGGTGCTGCATGTTAACGCTGGCATACAAATTGGAAAATACAAACTACAACAGATGTCTGAAGTGGACCCGTTTGCTGAAAAGACCATTCTAGATGTGGTTTCTGCACTGTTGGAGGAACACTGGACACCATGGCAGACATTCAAAGAGAGAGTATGCACTGAAGAATGAATAGCTGGCCAGAGGCTTACTAACTGGGCAAGAAAATATAACAACGTTTTTCTTCGTCAGCATTTAAAAATCACCAGTGGCTAAACAGCTGGGAATGTGGCATTCATAGCTTGCCATGCAGAACAAAGTCTTGAGAATGGACACTGATATTGCTGACTCTTAGCCTGTAGGTGCATGAATAAACTGGCTGATGGGGTGGATTCTCTTAAAGCATGAGCTGTCAGGATGGACAGTTTGTGGAAATGAAGTTACTCTAGCAACAGAGGCAAGTACAGTGAAGAAGCACAGACTATGGAGTACCTAGTTCTATATGCGTTTTTGGCAGATGTGTGTTTTACTGGAGATTATTCAGAACCATATGTTGGCCGCTGCCATCTGCTGAATTTGGATACAACACCTATAAAGCTGGTGTGGAAATACACAAAAAGAAACTAACTTCAGGAGAGAAACTGCCAGAGCCTTTGCAACTACAACTGTCTCCCACAGAAAATTACCTTTTTCATTTTGTGAAATATATAGCCTTTCTATACAAAAGTATACTAGAATGCTTAGAGCTTGATTTTATTTTAGGTCCCTATTAAAATACCTCTATATTTTATTGGAGAAGGACCTGAGCAGCCTGGTCTAGTAAGACCTGCTTTGAGTGGGGAATTGGACCAGGGACCATCAGAGGTCCTTTTTAACCTGAATTGTTGTAGGATCCAAATTATTACATCCATGCAGATGCATGAAGACATAAGTATTTTTCTTAGTCAAATATAGTAAGGAAAGAGATGGATCTGTCCACTGGGAAAACAAACAGTGGCACAGAGAAAGATGAGACAATAGAGTTTTAATAGAAAGGTTTATTTGGTAGAAAGTCTGTTTGTAAATATCTTTAGAAAAAAAAAGTAATTCACCCTGCATCCAGCCAAATTGCTGTTGAAATACCCACTCTAGTGATTCACAACTCCTCACAACTGAGAGGAAGGCTTCTTCCTTCTCTCTTCAAATGATATGCATTCTCATAAAGACACTGATACCTACTGTAGTTAGAAATCCTCTTGAGCTTCTAATCTAATAGAGACCTATCAATTTATGCTTCGCCTTCAGCCAGAATCATGCTTAGGTTGGACATGCCTTGGAAATAAAGGTAGTTTCTGTTTAATTGAATAACTTCCCCTGAATTGTCTTGGACAATAATGCCTTGAATTCTGCTGTCAGGCCCATCAAGAAAGAATCTTCTTGTGCAAGCAGTAGTTACTGCATTGAAAAATAGTATCCCAGTTATTGTGAATGAACCAACACCCAAGAAAATCCATATTTATTTCAAAAATAGTCACTAAGTTTGTTTTAATGTGAATAAAGCCAAACTCTTAAGGCCACATTTCAAGGAGTTAATGCTAGGCCTTGAACTTATGTAGCCTGAGATATGGCAACTCTGCTCTGCTCCTCTAGTAGAAAAGAGAGGGAAAAGGCTTCTGTATTTGAAACTGCATTTTTAGACCAAACTGTGGAACAAAATCCAACAGGAATGAAGAACTCACAGTTACCTCCCATTTTCTGTTCCAGGGGCAAAGTACACTTCTCTGACTTGTCATTTCTAATAAAACATGTGGCACAGAAAGCAAAAACAAAAATCAATCTACTTGTGAAAGTTCAGAGGCGGCAGCAGAAAGAATGTGTGCCTGAGATGCCACATTGGCATGGTGGGCTCTGAGCAAGTACCTGAGTAACACAGAAAAAGCCTCTAGCAGGCTCAGTAAAAGAAGCACCTCTGTTGTAAAGGTGAATTGGGCACTTAAGGAAATTATTCCAGAAGGACCTGAAGAACTTATTAGCTTGATCCTTGCACAAAGGAGTTAGTTCTCAGTGGGTTTATCTGAAACTCTTGCACTGGCAGGTTCAAATTGTAGGCACTCTGCATATTGTTTGGTCTCCCTGTCAACTTCTCTCATCTCTTATGCCCTGAAAATTGTTTTCTAATTTAGAAGGGATGCCTCAAATTCATGTTCTTAATTTTCAGCTATGAAGCTCAGTGAAATTATTGACCTCCCATGGACTTCTGGGATGACAAATAAAGTACTCCTGGGCAAACAAGGGCAATACTTCGACACAAATGGATAAATCATTTCCCACATCAAAACATTTATTAACTGCATGTAGTTAGATGGTTTCTTTTGTGAGGTTTCTTTATTTTCCTTCTTTCTTCTTCCTTTCCCTGTCCCATTTATTGTACCTTGCTGTGAGATTTTCTTTGCAAGAATGAGTATGAAAAGAACCGGGCCTTGTCTTGGATTTGTATAGTACAACGAAAATGAGTGAAGAAAAAGCATACATCACTGATTCACACCTGAAGATGCATAAACAAACAAGTTGCATTTCCTCACACGCACAGGCACTTAGTGAAATAAATATACAAGGACGCTCAAATCCTGCCATCTTAACCGTATTATAGTAAAGCCTGAGAATAGGTTTGCCCACCTGCCACTGTGTGACCACTCTGGTGTCTTTGGGGTTTTCAGCCGCTGGGAATAAACTGTGGTTCTGCCTGTGCAATTTTTCCTGCATCCTCTGACAGGAGAGGTGCTTTGCCTTTGGAATGGCATGGAATCCACAAGAAGTTTTTGCCCACATCTGATTTCCAAAGGTGATATAAAAGTATCCCACATGATTACTAAGAGAGCGAAGCACTGCTCTGTGTTGTGAAGCCATTTTTCAGCTTACTTGCATTATGCATTTGTGTTGTGTAATTGACACCCGTCACATGCTGACAGCTGGAGGTTTGCGACTTTCTTTGGTTTCATTTCTCAGGTGTTTTAGGTCTTTCATATCTACATCCAGACTTGTTAAGAGCTGAAGGCATAAATCACCTGTGAGAGACTGGGGAAAAGAAAATTCAAAGTAGAGCTCTTCCTTCACCAAAAAACAAAAAACCAAACAACCCCACTGACCAAAACCCAATACAAATATTGTACTTGGTTCATTGCAAAACTAGGAATATTGTTTCAAAAATAGTTCAACCAGACTCCACATATAAGTGAATTTGATTCAAAGCCCACTAAAGTCAAGGTGGTCTTTTCATTAGACCTAAACATTTTGGTGCCAGTTTTGATTCTGTATGAGATCTCTGTCATCTGCATGGTTTTATATTTAACTGTGCCCGCAGCTGTGGTACAAAGTACCTATCCCAAATGCCTAACAACCTGAGCACATTAAGTTAATGGGTCAGTACCAAAGTGGGCCCTTGATGTGTTGTGCTACTGTTGCTTGTTTTTATGAACAGCTAGTTGTGTTTCCTAAGAGTATTTAGCTTGCTCCCAGGAGCAGTGAATGAACCACTTAGGCTGAGCTGTGTATTACAGCTCCAAAATGAAACAAGGATCTTGCACAATAGCGGCACCTGATCTAGTCTTTCCTTTGCCTCTGTGCTGGTAGGAAGTCACGGTAAATTCATATTGAAAGTCTAAGTCCAAGCAGCAACTGATAAGGCTTCTTTTAATGACCTGGATCCACTACAACTGGTGATGACACCGACCAACACAGTAGTCATCCTATGTTGTTTATAATGTCTGTAATGTATCAAAGAAAACATGCATTTGTGACCTGGCTGTGTAACATCAGCGGCTGTTATTCTCTTTTCCTATTCCCACCTTCAGAGTCGACCTTTAAAGAAGCAATGGAGGCCTTGTTTTTAAGAATCTCTGTTCCAAAAAAAGGGAGTGGGAAGGGTAAAGATGCAGATAAGATCTGCTGAGGGAGACAGTAACAAATAGAGGCTTCGTAAAATTTTAAGAATCTAGACGAAGATGTGAGAAAGTTCACATAAACCACTGCTTTTGAAAGGTCTGCTCTAAACCACAGCTTTGAAACAGAGACCAGAGATCAGACTTTAGTAGGGATGGGAAAATAAAGTCTTTTCCTCATCACTGGCTTAAATTTGAAACATTCACTCTGTCCAACTTTCTATTGCCCTAAGGTGAGATTTCTGTAACCAATGTAGAGGAGAGTAGTCAGTATAGCTGTTTATATTGCTGTGAGACCTTTTCCCTAAGAATGATTAAGAAGAGTAGACAATCCACACCCTGAGCTGGAATCTTCCACTGCTCTCCCACATGGTTCACGGTGATCAGTTCCAAGTATACATATTAAATGGGGTCTGCACGTACATAAGTTTATTCTTTAAGAAACCCTTTTTTTTTTTTTTTTTTTTAAGGAAAGTTATTCTTTGTCCACCCAGAGGGACAGGATGCCCAGTGCAAGCAGCACAACATCTGAATTTGCACACTGCCCCTCTGCCCAGCGTCAACTTATCTGTGCCTTCTGTCTCGAAAGGCATGAACAGATCACAGCAGTTTCGGGTTGTCATTTAGGCGAAGGCTGGAATACATTCCCACGTGCCGGACCAGGTTGGGTTCCACCACGTAGGCGTTCTCCCCCTTAGTACGAAGCAGCGAATAGAGGGCAATATCCTTAGCAAAGCCCTGTCGGCAGTGCAGCCCCTTCAGGTAAGCTAAGGCACGGCGGGCAGACGGAGCAGGGAAGAGCATGGCAGGCGTGCAGCACTCAGTGACTGGCATGATATTATAGAGAGTGGGGGCCAGCCGGCGCAGCTCCAGCATGTAATGCCGTCCCACCAGCTCTGACAAAGCCATACTGTACAAAGCAAAGAACAAGACCATGGGCCAACTGAGGCTGGGGCGCCCAATTGCCCAGGAGTACACACAGTTCAGAACAGGCCCCAGAAACATGCCGAGACCTAGCCACTCAAGGATTCTCATGGGTTCCGGGTTGAAGTAGTGCTGAAGCCTCTCGGGATGGTAAAGCTTAAAGTAGAGTGCATCTCTGAGGTATGGTTTAGAGAACCGGGCCAACAAGAGGTGCTGCAAGACAGCGAATATCTCCTCCTCTGGCACAGCATCATCTTCCACTATGAGGATGTATTCTGGGTTGTATGCCAACAGCGACTGTTCTAGACAGAAGACATAGTCCTGCTTCTCTTTCTCAAACTGGTTCACACTGGGGTCAGGGTTCTCACCAGTTTTGTCACGACTGACCATAGGAAAGAAGCTGCTAAGCAGACTGACATCCTGATGGCTACTGGGGTCTGACTCCACATTACAGAGGAGGATGCGGTGGCTATGGCAGCGTGCACCACACTTCTGGAGGAGGCGGTGGAAGTGGGAGGCCACTTGCAAGACGTAGTGGAAATCACTCCGCCTCTGCACAGTGATAATGGTGACCAGCAGCAAGGGATGGAAGGCGTCACCGCCAGAAGTCTCAGAGGTGTTTGCTATCTGCAGCTTCTCAAAGTAATGGAGGGCAGCCTGGCCCTCCTGCTGGTTCTGCTCCAGGAACTCCTGACTCATGGGGTTCAGGTGCCAGCGCTGCAAATAAAAGTAAGAATGGAGGAGCCGGTGGCAAATCAAAGGTGCGAGCACACCGAATGTCACCACAGTCAGTGCAAGCAGATGGAAAAAAGGACTGGACCAACGGCACCACCTCCCAAAGAGCTGCCAGGCTTGGTGTAACATGGCTGCTGCAGAAGCAAGGCACCCTTGCTTACAGAGCAAGTAATGCCCTCATTCCTTCACTTCTGATGCGTCCTCCCTGGATTACAAGGTACCATCGGGGCAGCAGCTGCCAAACCTGCACAATTTGTCCAAGCCTAGAGAGGAAGAAAAAAGATGGTTAATGAAATAGGAACTGTCAGAGTGGGAAGACTGTGATTTGAGAAAATGGAAGGCTAAAGGCTAGTCACTGAGTAAGCTCAAATAAAAGGCCCCTTGTGGTGGGGGCATCACAGAATTGTTAATGGGAGGTTGAGGAAAGATGAGCCAAACTTCCATCAAAGTGCCCTTAAGGCCTTTTCAGCATGTAGGAGCTCTTATGTGACTAGTTAGACAGGTCTTGGTTGTGTTTGTTGCTAAGTTTCAAATGCATAACAAACAGGCAGCACAGATGCAGGATGTGTGAAAATCCCTTCCTGTTAGGGGAAGAGAACTTAGATACCACTATCTGGTCACAATGACTTAGTAAGTGTTAAGGGAGAATCCACTGCCCAAGCATTCACACACTATTCGAGGAGTTGCACACATATCACCCTAGACTTCAACTGCTGGGACTGGAGTCCCTTTGCAGCGGGTGGCTCCAGTGAGCTGATGGATGCCCCTTCCAACTCCTCACACACACACACACACACACACACACACCCTTAGGAGCTTCCTCCTCCCTCAGGCTTGGTCATAGGTTTCCCAAAGCAGAGTCTCTGACATGACTTATGTCAGGTGAATTTATTGATTGGTACAGTAGTATAGGAGAGCTTGAGCTGGATGCCTCTGGAGAGGGACCCTAAACAAAGAAATCCCTGGGCAATTACACCCTTACAATCTAAGTTCTCCTCCCCTCATGCGATGGTCCGGTTCAATAGTAATATTTGGGTTTGAGGTCTTCTTGTTCCTCAGTGGATCCTTTTCTGTCTTTAGGTGGGCCATTCCTTACCATCCCAAGGATGCAGCTTCTGCTGACAGATGTGACTACCTTATTTTTCACAAGATGCACCAGTCGTGAAACTATGTAGAAGTTCAGAGTAAGTTCACTGCTTGTAGCCTAAGGTTTTATCAAGTCTTGCTATTAATGCTATACAGTGGATTATATTTGAGCTAGGAAGTGACTATATAATGGCTTCCATTAAAGCTACTCTTAACAGTAAGACCTGGGTCACAACTAAGAACCAAAGCCGGTTCACTTGTATCTTAGCCTAGCACATATTTGAGAGACAAACTTTTACCTCTGTAGAATGACACATGCTTCCCTTCTGTTCCTCACATACTCATGCCTCTTCACTTTACTCCCCACAGTGTGAAACAAGATAAGATAGCAATTTACTTCACTAAGGGCATATGTACACTAAGTGTAATATGTGTGTGTCTCTCTCAGAGGTCTCCTCCTTTCTAGACCCTGTGAAATACAGTCACAGCAAGTTGCAATTGAGCCATTGACTCATATTTGTTATTTAAAAGTTTGTAATTTAAAATGAAATGCCTTTAATTTTAAACGGAAACATTTATATATACTTTTTTAATACACACACTCTTTAAGCAAATATCCACCCTCACAAAAATTAGATTTTGCCATATTTGGCTTCTCTGTTCTGCTTCTCTAGGCTGCCATGAAAACCTAACAGCCTGTCTGTCAGAAGCTTACACTAAATCAGGGCAATTACGCTGTTCAGATGAATTCTCCTGTGCCAGTAATTTCCCTTTTTAATCTGCTGTTTGACTCTCACATTTAATTTCCATTCCCTCTTCTTATGAACTGAGTTATTCATGCCCACCTCAGCTGACTGACTGTGCACTGGTGCTCCCAGACCAAAATGTTACCCTTTTTCCTTCTCTGCACTGTTGTCTGAAGCAGTCTAAGCAGTGATGTGTGGATGGAAATAAATCAGGGCTTTGGCTTTTCTTCTCTGTCTCAGAAGAATGGGCCATGTAGAAGAAATAACTCAGAGGACAGAGTACGGTCTAATTCAGGGTCTGCTTCAAAACTTCCCTCGTTACTGTAGTCACAGATTTGCTGAATTTACCATTAGGAGAACTGCTTTCTGTTGTGATATGGGAACCTGACAATCTTATAGGAAAGGCTTTTTACTAAGGTTAATGGAAAATACAGAAAAGTTATTCCAGATATTTGTTTGAGACCAGGCATTTCCAGCTGTGAGATCTCAAATCATCCTTGGATAACTGTGGCATCACAGTTGTGCTATCTTATGATTCATGAAAACACAAGACTTTAAATATTTAGTGTAATTACATAGAGATAACAAATTTACACAATGATGCATGAGAATCCGCAGTGTTTTCCCATAGAGTCCTTTTTTTTTTTTTTTTTTCTGATTACACAATCTTGTTTTACAGACACTGTATTGTATTACATCAGTGGACCTTGTAAAGGTCTTAAAGGTGATGGCTGCATTTCAGCTGCCAGATCCAAGCCACAATGATTCAGGACACAAAGACCTGAAATCCATCTGATGCAAAGACCTGGCATTTAAATGCATTTATTCATCCAAAATCCAGGGCTTTCCTTTTTCTCATTTTCTGCTAACCAATCACAAATATTAAGGGAATACACAAATGCAGAATCATATTCTACAACTCACACTGGCATACTTTTGAGCCTCCTCTTTATGCAACCAGCATTGCTTGCGCTGTCGCTGAGCCAGCCTCCAAACTTGGAAGTGAGGACCACAGTAGCAAAAGAAGATGAAGAAAAGCTAGAAGGTAGTTTAGATTTCAGTAAAGAAACTTAATAGAAGGTAGTTTAGATTTCAGTAAAGAAACTTACTGTCTATCTACCAGTTATGATGGAAATCTGAGCTACAAAAACTATGAGACATCAGTGGGCTCTGTAGCTCTCAGTGTATGCACTGAAGCATTAATAATTCCCACCCAAGCAAGATGCCTCCTCCTTCATAGGATCTTCTACTGAAAAGGGAGCAATAGGTGTCATGTCTTCCCTGTGGCAGCAGGAGCAGCAGGCTGGCAGCTGGGCTGTGGCCACACAAGATGAATCAAAGGGAAGTTCACCTGACACTTCTGCAGCCCTTGTTGTTCAAGGGTCAGGCTCACCTGCACCATGAAAAAGTAATTCCCAAGTCCCTGCTTTTGCGTCTGCAGCTTCACCATCAGTTCCCTACCGGCCCTGCCTGCCGGAAAAATCTGTGCTGGCACTCCACCTACTGGTGTCCCATACGGTAAGGTAGGTAACACGGGCCCCCTCAGGAGGCATCTCCTTGCTTCATACAAGAAAGTAGCTAACTCTGAAAAAGCACATAGGACTGGAAGCCAGCCATGTAGTCCACAGTCTTATATTCACAAGTGTTTCTGACTTACCCTGGCTTCACTTCATCTGTAACACAACTTAAGATCTTTGAGCTCTTACTCTGGTTTTGCAACTCAGAACACAAGGAAAACAACAATCAAACAGGCACTCCAAATCTTCCTCTACTGCCTGGGCTATTAGCACTCACGCTGACTGCCATGCTCTTTTTCAGTTTATTTGCAGAGGAAAAGGCTGTTCTCACTGGGCAGTGGAATAACCACAGAGGCTAAAAATGGTCAGGAGCATATTAAAGTGGATGAAATATTCTAGTTCATGCCAAAAACAAGATGAAGGATCTCAAAAAGAGAGTAGACACTGACCTCCTCCCACCTCTTTGGCTGTAACACCGGGAACCTGAGAGTTCCAAATCTACATAGGAATTTCTTGTTTCTACAGAGGTGAAGTTTGATTTGCAGGACTTGAATCTAGAGTTTCTGGTCAGGCTGTTTTCTAGTCATTAGGGTGGTTCTGACTTTACACAAGCTATTCTGTTTTCAGAAGCTGTTGGTACTGTCACTTTCTTCCCTTTTTAGGGGAAAAAAAATCTTGTTTCTTCTTTAAGAATTTAAGTGGCATTTCTGACAGAAAAATTAAGTTTGAGGAGAAAAGCAAGAATCAGAATTGGATTTTATAGTGCTTTAAAAAAAAAATGCATCTTGAATAGTAACTACTTTGCAACCATGTAAATGCTTGCAGTGGAGGCCACTTTTATGTATGTTCTGTGTAGAACTGAGCCATTGCTTAAACATGTTTGGAAACTGTGGCAATATAGAGCTATATTCTGCTTGTTTCTTTACTTTGATCCTCATGATGAATATTCCTTCCAGAAACACCTGGTTCACCTGGTTCCAAATCTATGTTCCCATCTTCATTAGTCCCCTAATTACTTGGCTGAATTATACAGTTCAAGAAAAAGTTACCTCTACAGACACTGAGAAGAGTAGAAAAAATATAAACATCCTCTTTGGGGTGCAGAATACTGTCTGCTGTGATAGTGCTTTAAAAGAGAAAGCTGATTTTCTGTCTGCTCCAAACTCCTCTCCACAGAGGTATTACTGCAGGCAGGCATTCCTGGAACAAAGCTGCCTATGTGTTTCAAACCTGCAAAATTTTATGAGGCTCCCAAATAGCTAATATAAGAGAGGGCATCTCTTCTACTACCTGCTCTGTGAGACAAGGCCATAATTATTCCTTTATGATTACAGTATTAAATGATTCCTTTTCACCTAATTACACTTCTTTTCAGTGTCAATGGGAAAAGCCACTCCTTTCCTAAAATAAAAACAACTGGATGAAGTCATGTGGTCAGAAGCCATCTCTGTGGGAAACAAAAGTAGGCTCTTGGAAAACATCATGGAAAGCCCAGCTGTTACAGTCCCCACCTCAGCCATAATGGTGGTGGTACTAACTGTGTTCACACAAGTTTTGACTTATGTGTTGATACTATAGTGGCATCCCAAGTTGAAACCTCTCTGCGAAAAACACTTCTACACCCCAATCTAACACTGTGTGGACGAGCTGCAACCTCAGGACCAAGCTCCTCTCTACTAATTAACCCTCTGGCAGAGACAAGAGCTTTGTCTTAGCTGTGATATTGTTAATGCACCAGCAAACAGTCCTGCTTAAATCTGAGGAAACTGATGCAAGCTTCACAAAGTCATGAAGAGCCATATAGATCTCCTTCTGTTTCATATGTGTATGCTGACAGCTGACTGTTGTGTCCAGACATCCTCAGCTTCCAAAATCTGAGGTCCCTACTATGAGCTGATCCCTATTACTGGACCAGATGGCCAGCTTTTCTCATCTGCAATTCCTCTTGTTTTCTGACAGCTTTTAGTAGGTCAGGTGCCAGATACTATTTTTGCAATGTGTTCAGGCTTGCCTTGAAAACAGCAGTGCCCAGTAGAAGCCACGCATTCACAGACCTGACCATTACACTTAGATGCCAAACTGGGAGTTGGGCTCCCTGGGTAACACAAACCATCCTGGCAAGAGCTTTGCTTCTAAAAACATTCAGCAGAATCTTAGTGGTAAGAGTTCAGCCATTGTTCTTTGATTATATTTTACTGGTAGGTAACAATATATCTCTTACTTCTACTTCAAGCACTGCTTAAAGCAGGTGTCATTATGTTGTTTCTAGACAATGAATGTCAAATAAACCAGGCTGTTTCATTTAAATTTCACCTAAAGTGTTTCCTGCTATGGCAAAGACCAGGGCTGCTGCTGATGCAATTTGATTTCTCAGTTCTCTTAGAACTTTTTGTTTTTTATGGTTTATGTACTACAGGTATAACACTTCTATGGTCTAACAGGTTAATGGTAGCTTGAAGCGTAAGAGAAGTGGCTAGGGAGTTGGAGAGGGTTTGGACTTGGCCCTTTGCAGGACTTAAGTGGTGTAAGAGGTAGAAATCAATGGCAGGGCCATCTGTTTTGATCTGCCATTCCTCAGAGCCTTTCAATGAACGCATAAACTTTTTCTGTCCAAGGAGATGGAATTTAAGCACTATTAGAAAAGTGAAAATGCACAAATACACAAGGAGTAACCCTGTCCAGTTAGGAAATGGCAAAAAAAGCAGAACTGCGTCTTGAATGTAAATTTACTGATAGGCTGTCATCCTTTTCTCATTTAACTATAGTTAACTTTTACAGGTTGTTCAGAAATTCAGGGAGCACAGATTGAAAACTGATGAAATAAGAGGCAAAGTACATGGATGTGGCAGCTGGAAGATACTTTCTCCATTTCCCTTCAACTAAGAAGGTAAAACTATACCACAAATGAAACAGGCTATGAACTGAATATATGTTAATTACAGTCATTTCCCCAACTTCCATCTTGCTTCTTATGCATGCTAATTTTCTTCTGCTACATAAATCTGAAGGGAGCCCATTATCAACACCTGCTGACTTTCACCTGGCTGCCTCCCTGCTATGCAATGTCATGGGAAAGCAATGTTCTTCTCTGTTGCTGTCAAGCAGTAAGGTCAGTATTCAGGTCAAGCGGGAGTGGAAAGCAGCCTGGAGAATAGAGTTCTGCAAGATAATAGCTTAACACAGACTTAAGGCAAGGAGTTTTGTGAGGAACTGTCTTTTAGAAGATGACACCAAAGGTTTACATGGCTTTAAAACTAATTATACAATCTGTATCTGTCTGAATTTACATTTTCTTTTGTGCCAGAGGTAAAAAAAGGGATAAGTTTTTAGAGAATTTGACAATGATCTGTATAAAAACTGCTGTGTATTTTCAGAGAAGTCTGCCTAGAGCCCTCCAAAATTTTAAATGTGGCATTTGGTTTGAGCCCACTTGTGCTTTAATATGAAATTTACATCCCTGTTTGTTAAAAAAAAAAAAAAAAAAAGGAAAATTACATCAGACAAAGCTGCTGCTAATAATGGCACCAGCAATTACCTTTTGCTGTCTGCTCTTGGAATCTCAGAGCTAAATGTGCATTGACTCATCAGAGATGCTATAGTTAATTTGTATTTTAACTCCTTGTGTCACAGTCTATTGCTAAAATAATACCAGGGCCCCTGCATGCAAGATACTCTACACAGATATAGCAAGGGGCAATTGCTACCTTAGTGGATCTTCAGCTTAAGAACACAAAAGACAGGAGGGAATCTGTTTTTCCCAAATATGTAAATGCATCAGCCTGATTTTGCTGTCATGAACAACTGGCATTTTATTGTTTAACCACACTGATAATCCACACAGGTAAATTATCTAGAATAGCTATTGAAAAAATATCTACTAAATGTGGAATGCTGAAGTAATAGCAACTCTGCAAATTAAAGTGATCTGAACAGATGAGGAAGAAGAATTCTTGGTCTTGGAAAAGTCTGTTCAAAAGGAGCTATTAAAGAACAGCAGGAATGAGGTATCCCAGTGCAGCTATTGTGGAAAATCTCCTTCCACTGTAGCTCTCCCATTCACTTTCTATATGCAATTGTGCTCTCAGGGCTTGCTAGGAAACCAGCCACTTCACAGTTTCTGAAAGAACAACGTGCAGATTAAACTAGCTCCCTGAGTGTGATTTGGGAAGGTATGACGGGTGCACCTACTCTGACCAAGTGAGCAGCATTTTGGTTCGGGCATCGCCAACAAACCAGCCCTGCTGTGCAAAGTATGAGAACTGTGCTAGGTCATATTTTCTCAGGAGTCGAGGAGTCTAGGCCACGTTGTATCAGTAGCTAACAGCACCAGCCTAAACCGGGACTAGACAAAACTACAATTGCTACAGCTGCTCTCCTGCACATACACCAAAAGGGGGTTTGACTACGCATCAATCACTTCATGCTATATGTATCTGTAGCCTCACTGAGCTCTCCTGTACAGATGTGGGCTGCATGGTGATCACCTCTCCTTGAGCAAGGACTCCTCTCAAGGTTACTACTCCTCAAGGTTGAGAGACCTCTTACCCAGCATCTGATATCTACAATGAGGTAAGCACATTTTATAAAAGTATACTGTATACTAACAACATTTCTATATCCAGCTATAGCTTAAATATTAGAAGTGCATAAAGTAGTGGAGTGTTTGACTCATTTAAAACATTGCTGAAATCATCAATTCGATCATCATTCAATTACCATTTCACTACATCTTAATTATCAATTATTTATTGTTAAAGCATTGTTAAATCACTTTATCATTCAAGTATTGCATAATCGTAATTTATTATTTAATTATAATTCAATCATTAATTATAATTTGATCATCATTCAATCATTAATAAAACCTTTCAGTTAACCCTACAATGATGGCTTCTCTTTATAATTTACCTGTGGCAGGAGGTGTGGGTATATGAACAGGGGGGAGAGGGAAAGAAATGGAAACAGATGTGGTAATGGCTAACACAGAAAATGTTGCAGCTTCACTGTTCATTTATGACTGTAAAGAGTAAAACACAGTAATAAGGAAATAGGATATTATTTTTGTGAACAAAGGCCTCTGATGATAAGGCTGTAAGTTTCCAGTTGGGATAGGTCTATGTAACAATAAAAATGCAAAACTGTATCAGGCGACAACCAGTATATTGATTCTAACCTCTGTTTGAAAGAAAAGATGTTCAGTCATACTGATAAACAGCAGTCCTCTTTTAAGAGACACTCTCTACTAATGTTAAACAGTACTACTGATTTTTTCTCTGTATTCACCACTTCCTTCTGAGGAATACACATTCTCCTACCCTTCCCCCTCTATGTATGAAACGGACTATTTATCCTGCATTGAAAGGCATGGTAAATGGGATGCCCTGCTTCTGGAGGATGCTGGTGATATGTCTGAGCCCCAAGGGAAGATAATGGGATAAATACAGTAGCTGAAATATAGTCTGCTATATAATTAGTATCACTCTTGTTGGACAGACATGAAAGCTGCAGATTTCACCAGTGCAGGAGGGTCTTTCTCCTGGGTTTTGTGCTTGAAAATGCTTGTTGACCCTGGTATGCCTTTATGGCAGCCCATTGGTTGTACACAAAACTATTTTTCTCATCAATTACATGAGAACAAGCCAGGCTGTGAACCTGTAGTGCACACTGGCATAGGTTCATGTTCTGCTGCTCCATCAGCACAGCTGCAAATTCCCTCCACAGCCTACGATTTTAACTGTCAGCAACCTCAGCACTTAGGTGTGCCTCTTTCCCGTTGGGAGAGCTGCCAGGTAGCACAAGGTGACCCTTAAAGCACTGGGACTAATAGCAGTTACCCATGTGATGATGGTCAAAGAGGAGAAGGCATCCGATAAGAAAAGCTGATCCCCCCCCCCCCCTCAGCCCTCCTTGCAAAACAGCAGAGACACAGATGGTATTTCAGTGTGCCCAGTCCTCATGACCCTTGCCCAGACTTTCGACCAGAGAAATTCTGTCCACGTTTCTACCTCGGCCGAGGGCTCTTTTGGGTGGCACCAAGCACTGGGCGGAAGCCGGCTGAGTTTTTTTCTCGATTCCTTAATAGTTTCATTCACCTTTCCTAACGGAAGAACTGTTTCTTTAGGCCCGGCCGGGCTCTGGCCACCCTCTGTTCTGCTTGTCACCATGTACAGTTACAGCCCCAGAGCAAGCACAAAACACTTTCTCGTTCCGTGGAGGCTTTCCACGTTCCCCCTCGCTCGGGTGCCTCGGCTACAGCAGTGAAAACAAGCTGCTGCCCTTCTCCGCTGCTGACGAGCCAGTAACTTCTCGCCGCCCCTCGCCCCGGCCTCTCCCCACGCTCGGTGTAGCCGGCAGGACAGAAACGCGCACCCCCCCCCCCCCTCCGCCCCCCACTCCGCGCCACCGGCGGAGGGCCTCGCCCCACCGGTCCCCGGAGCCACGCCGGGTGAGGACAGCCCCCTCTCTCCGCAGTGCCCGCGGCAGCAGCGAGAACCAGCTTCCCAGGGACAGACCGAGAGCCACGCGGGAGGATTTACCCTTTCCTGCTCGGCACCAGGAGGCGTCCTGCCGCCGGCGGGACAGCCCCGCAGGTCCCGCACCTCCGCTCCCCTTCTCCCCGCTGCCAGCACCGCGGGCTCCCCGACCCCGCCGGCGGGGCGAGAGGCGTGGGGGTGAACGTACAGCTCCGCTTTTCTGTTTGATCTTGCCACTCTGCTTGTTGCTCACTTCTCTCCCGCGAATTTTTCTCCTCCCTCTCGGGCGGCGAGGGTGGGATTAAAGGCACCAAAGCCTAAACATGTGACCACGCCAGCACAGAGATGCTCGGAAGGAGGGGAAGGGGAGCCGACACGAGTGAGAAACGCAAAACCGGAGCGGCGGGAGGTCTATGAAAGCAGGTTAAGAAGCAAAATGCGAACCACCCGAGTGCCAGGACTCCCGCGGCAGAGACCGCAGCGCAGCCGGAGTCCCTTAGTCCTGCTCTGTGGTCCCCGAACGCTCCTTCGAGAGCAGCGAAACGCCAGCCCGGGCGGTGCTGCAGAGCCCTGCGGTCCCCTACGGCTACAAAGCTCTCCGCCACCTTTCCTTAGCCAGGATTTCAAACGTGCTCCAGGCATGTGTCAGGTGTATTCAGCGGCTCCGATGGCCACGCCTTTGCGGCACTGCCCCGTCGTGCTGCTCCTGCGTGGCTCCCGCCCCTCCCCAGTCGGTCGCTGGCTTATTTTCTAGACGCCAGCTCTGCGCCCCACGCCGAGCCCTTTGCCAGCTGTCCAAATCACGGTGCTTTGCTTCGTGGAGAGAAAGATCGCTCCCCGCATGCTCAAGTGGAAAATCAGCGCTGCGGTTACCAGCACACTGGTTTATGTGCCTGTCAACCATGATTCGTAGAAATCCCAAGCTTTCGCTGTATTAATCTGTAATGAGTTCATTACAGATTTATTCGATGAAGTGAGGACACTCATCAGCTACACCAGAATTTGTATCTGGATGTTCAGGATCCAAAAATCACATCAGACTGGTCCAAGAGTGCCTCTGACCTGTTTGTTTCCCCTCCCCCTTTTCCCTCAGTTCCATTTTCCTTTCCTACACACATACCTTTCAGCCCTGTGACCATAATACTTATTTATACAAATTGCATCTAGCTACAGTTATGTGAAATATGCCTCAGAGGAAGTTTTCTGCCTTTCACTGTAAGAACTTTTTAGTTTTGTGCCTGCAGCTGCAGAAAAAGGGAGGCTAAATTATTTTCATGTTCTGACCTCTCTTCTAGAAAAAAAAAAAAAAGGTAAAAAAAGAAAAAATCCCTTACACTGCTTCAGCAAAACACTATGTTCTGTTAAGCATATCTAGAATTTTGCTAGAGCCCAGTCCTGTGATCAGAAGCTTCTAGCATGACACATGGGGAGTTTTTTTTTTTTTGTTTGTTTGTTTTTTTGTTGTTTTTTTTTTTTGTTTGTTTGTTTTGTTTTTTTTTTGTTTTTTTTTTGTTTTGTTTTGTTTTGTTTTTTGGTTTTTTTTTTTTTGTTTTTTTGTTTTTTTAATTTTAATATATCAGTTGATACTATTCCCTCTCATAAGCATTATGGAAAAAGGAACTCAGTTATGCACGCCTATGATCCTCACTTATTAGAACAGGCAACAGCTAACCCTCAGTTAAAGCTTCTTACTGTAGAGACAATGTGGATGAAGCCAGAAGAACAGTAATGCTCATAGTAACACAATCAAGCATCACATTTGGGTTCCTATAGTGACTTGCTCTCCTAGGAAAAGGTGAGGCATGCTGGAAGGTCCACAGGTTTACCTAGATGTGTATCTGAAAATAATAAGGAAAGACAGTACAAGAAAGCAGTTTCTCAGGTGATTTGCATTCCAAAATCCTTCTTTGCTGAGTATCTCTGCCTCTTTTCCTACCAGTTTTTAATGACAGTGATTCATACTCTACCTTTCACTTAAATGTTCTCATGTCTTCAAATGCTGATGTACAGGAAACACAATAGATCCTGGAACAGAACAGAAGCAAAAGATAACATGAGAGCACTGGGGGTGAGAAAGAGATTATACATGCCTGGGAGGTCCATTAGCATGTTATTCCCAGTGTTAGTGTTACAGAATTTGTAAGAAACAAGAAAAATTTTATTTTCTGCTTCTGTGTCAGTATGTGTGTGGAAGAATGACTATTGAGTGACATAAGCAGAAACACGTGTCACACTGCATCCAGTATTACATTTTAGATGATGTCTCACCCAGTAGAACAATTTGGTGGTAGTAAATTAAAAGGAATGGGCCAAAAGGCTTTTTATTTGGGAATAAATATTTAGGTAATTGTAATTTTGTGAGGAATCTTTCTATGTAGTTTTCTCTTCTCCCACTTCTCTCCCTTCCTGCTTTTCAGGAAACACTTGATTTTCATCCTTAAACATTTGTTTCTTTAAAATATCTTCTGTTAGACCCAAAAGACTGAGGGAGAAAAGTCACAAGTGATTTTGGGACAGTGGCACAGTTTAAACAACAGTCTGTCATCCCTGACTACTCATCTTTATCACAGTGCTGTCTCCTGCTGTGCGCTAGCATAAGGGCAACTGATCTGGCTGAAAAATAAACCTTTTCTTACGATGGATTATTGCTTAGCTGGATCACTTCATCTCTTCAGTTCTCCATGTCAAATGGCTATGTCAGCACAACAGGGAGGGGTCTAGAAAGCAGAGATGAACATTTGGGGACATGATCGCCCATGCAGTAACCTAACTGCAACCTGAAAAGCTCAGAAGAAATTGTTACTTCTGAAATGATTCAGTCTGTACAATAACAGGACAATACTTTAAAATCATAATCAGAGAAAAATGCTGTGGTGAGAATTGTATCCAACTAGGGGAGATTCAGCCTAGCCATTCAGATCCAAGGATTTCCTATGGCCAAAGCCTTCCCCTCTGCCATCCACTGTAACAGCTCTCACTGCACTAAGCATTTGTGCATGGGAATGGAGCTAATATTTTCTTTAGCTTTGACTGAAATTGGGTACATAAACATAAGTGTTAGAAGCAGGAAAAGCTAGGCAGGTGATGTTTAGATGCCTGCACAATATTGAAGGCAGCAGAGCAGAAATTCATAGTCTTGAGGGCTACTGAATTGAGAAGCCCAGATTCTTATGAGTTCTGTCATTTGTGCCCTATGCATCACTGTCAAAATATCCTTAGCTCCTGTCTCATGTTCCTTGTGTCCTCCCGATTCCTTAGCTTTCCTCCTACACAGTAGCCCTACTGCTTCATCTTTTTGCCAGAAGGCAAGCGTGTGAGGGTGTGCACACTGTAGCTGATTTTGAGCTATGTGTGCTGATTATCCAGCTGACAAATCAAATGTACAGGTCCCTGTTCTGTGTATGTTGAAGGCTTTCATTCAGTGGCATGGAGATTGCTCTGCAAGAGACTGCATGAAGTATACAGCAGCAAACATATCTGAGACCTCCTTCAGCCAGTTGCAATTAAATTTGACAAATGTGTTCAAAGTTTATTAGGGACAGGGATGAAGCTGTGAAAAGCCATTAAGAAAAAAGAAGGGGCAGGGGGAAAAAAAAAAAAAAGATAAAAAAGAAGGGGGAAACAAAAGATTTTGTAAGCCTGGTATCCTTAGGAAAAAATCTAAAGCAATTGCAGTCTAGCAGAAGGAATGAATAATATGTTTAACGTAACATGTTGTACCAGTATGCGTATAACATCATCACATGTAAAGGCTGTGCCCCTCCTACAAACACTTTGAAAAGTTCTCCAGTGTACTGATGGTATTACTCCTTTATGTTCAGCTATCAGATGATAATTATTTGGTTATTCCTGTACAGTCAGCTGCACAATACGTTTCTTTTCCTTGTAGGTATTTGCTGTTCATTACAAAAGCTAACTTTTAAAATATTTTTCTTCCCTTGCAATATATTTATAGGAAAAAATCCACAGAGTAAATCAATAAATATTTCCTGCTTACGTTATGTGTTTTAAGAAGCAGCAGACATTCATGATGGCTGTTTTGAATGGGAATACAATATTGATGATAACCAAATTACATACAGTGGCTTTCTCTTTTTTTCTTTTATATTCAGTATTGATCACTAGGGACAAAAAGCGTTCAAAATCCTTTGTTGTTTACTGGAGACATCGTGAGTTCATATGTCACGGCTATTGTGTCTGACTTTAGACAACAGTAGTGAGATGAAATGCAGCTCTGAAGGGAATGAATTCATGCTGGCTTAGCTGTCTAGGGTACATTAATGTTCTCTGAAATGGCTGAAATGTTTTAATCTCCCTTTCATCCTGGTCTGTGCATTTGGTTATCTATTCAGGACTAAGCCCTCTTCATGTATTTTCCAGGCCTTCCCGCTATGCAGCCTTCTATATATAACTGCATTGCAGACTTTTCAGGCTTATACCAATAACTAATTCATCTTGCAGATACATTATTACATACTGTTCCTGTAGTCTCTGCTACCTAATTGGCACACATCTGAAGATGACAAACACACTTATTGTAGTCCAGTTCTTTTTAGAGAGTACTGCACACAGACTTGCAATTCGTTTCTATGCTTTTCTTCTCTGACCAAATCATTAGATAGGGCTGTCCATAGCAAAAAAAATACCAGTGTGAGCTAACATGGCAACATGTTAAATGATGGTGGGATTTCAGAAAGACCACAAGTGTGATTGCACTCAGAGGAATGGATGTATCTTAATCAGTTTAGTTCTATATGCTCTGGTGATCCAACTTCCTACCTGTCTTGCTCCAACATTCTGACTCTTACAGACCAGAGAGTATTTCCAAGAAAGGGCCAAGTGTTTTAATTTAGAAATAGAGTCATGTGGCTTTCCAAAATATCTGTTCAAATATATTGCCTCTCAGTTACTTGCTGTGTGTTGAAACATAGAGGAATAGTCTGGAACAGTGTACTTTTTGCAGATGCTAAAAAAGAGAATGGGGTAAGGAGGCAAACCATAAGATTTCCAAACTGAGGGTCAGACAGGAATTATCCCCAGGGGACTGCTGGAAAACTTTTAATTTTGCCTTGCAGAATAGAGTAAGCTTATTGTGTATGGTCACTGGGCACATTTCACTAACAAATTCTGTGCCTGTATGAGAAGCAGAGAGCACTAATAATTTCTTTGCTCTCTTCACCACAAATTTTAGGTGTGCACTTCTGGAACTAAAGGTCTGCTGCTAACATAAGGGAAGCGACCCATTTAACTGGAAAGTTTGGGTACCACTCATACAAGGTTTTAACTACACAAAGACTCTCGGGGAAATTGTATCAAATTGTGACTATTTTAAAACTGCTTAAAATCTTTAATGGACAGCACCATTTGAAATTTAAGAGGTTTTAATTTGGTTTAGCTAAATGGTCTTTGGAAGTGAAAGAAGCAAAATAAATGTTAACCTTTTTTCATTCTACATAATAGTGCCTGTACAGGATGTAATACAGAGACTACAATAGTTCACTTCTAGGTCATATTTTTAATTAATTCAGATTTATTTTTTTCAAGATTTAAGTTTAGGCCAGTCCTGGAAGGCCAGTTAGGGGCACCAGCCTCATTTGAAGAAGGACATAAAAGGCCATGACTAGTCCATGACCTAGAAGGATAGCTTGCTGTAATTACTACAGCTACATTGGTTAATATAAAAAT